CTTGTTCTCAGGATATATATGAAGAAGTGTTTTTGTCTAATATCACATGACTCTTCAATAATAAAATAGTAATATGTATGTTTAGATAGAAAGTTCTAGAGCAAATGTGGCAAAATGTTTGCTATGTATTTATTTATATAAGGGGCTGACAATAGCTCACAGGCAAGATCCAACCTGTGACCCACTTTTGCTCAGCTCTCAAACTAAGAATGATTTATACATTAAAAAAAAAGGGGGGGACTGAGGGTGTAGCTTTGGTAGTCATGCACAAAGCAATGGGGTTTGATCTCAGGGACTGAAAAAAGAATATGCAAGAGAGATTGTTTATGGCCCATAGAGCCTATTGCTGTCTTTCCCTTTATTGAAAAAGTTTTCCAATTTCTTGGATTGAAATTTTTTGTGTGTGTGGTGATGGGGATTGCACATGCTAGGCAAGTGTTCTTTTATTAAGCTATATTCCCAGTCCTAAGTTTTCCAATTACCAATATAGAGGAAGAAATGACAAGGGATTATTGTGCTATACTGACTTCACTCTGTTTTAACACTTATATCATAAAATATATGCTGACTTAAGAAGCCAAAATCTGAAGTTAAGGTTAAGACAATTCCAGAAACCCAGGGGCAACTGACCAAGAGCACATATTTTTCTCTTATTGTCTTGTTGTCTGGGAAATACACAACACATAGAAAAGGAAAGTTTGAATATAGCCTAGAACTGAATCTGTTTGCTGAAATTCCATTTCTAGGTATTCTGGGTATTCTGTGGTATCATATAAAGCCATGTGTGAATGTATATTCTTCTGTTTTTTTCCTTTCTGCCTACCTCCAACCCATGACAGTATTAAATGCAGTGTCTTGTTCATAGAGGGAAGACCTTCTCTTTAAATAACCAAAAGTAGTCCTTATAGCATGTCCTTGAATTTTCATTAATTGGCAGTAGGGATCACATTAAATTAAAAAATACTGTAATTGAGGCAGCCAATATTGCTGTCTCATCAAGAAATCTAATCACAGACTGGCATCATAGTATTTGAAACCAAACCAGAGGATCAGATATCCAAGAGGATTATTATCTGTAGATTGCAAGGAAGATAAACGTTCTCTTTCAGTCTCCAATACTTTAAATAGAACCAACATGATGTCAGTAGATAGGCCATAGGATGTGGAAATTAAAGAGCCAAAGAGAACACCTACTTAGGAAGTAAGTAGTTTGTTAAGAAATGTGGCAGAGGGCTGGGGATGTGGCTCAAGCGGTAGCGCGCTTGCCTGGCATGCGTGCGGCCCAGGTTCGATCCTCAGCACCACATACAAACAAAGATGTTGTGTCCGCCGAAAACTAAAAAATAAATATTAAAAAAAAAAAAGAAAGAAATGTGGCAGACCACATATGTGATCCTAATAAGGTCATTTATTTACTTTGTAAAAGTTTTTTGTTTATTCATTTTTAAAAATGGGATATAGTATCTCCTATATATATATATATATATATAGTATCTTATTATATATATATAGTATCTTATTTATTACAAATTATATGTTTTCCAACATTTACATACATTGTTTAGTGTTATTCACATTTGTGTTATGAGAATGATTATTGATAGTGATTTCGGATCATTCTTGTATAAATATATAAATAAATTCATTATAATTTCCCAAATGGATCTTCACAGGGAATTTTCTAGTTTGAGACAAAACAAATGATTATATGTATTTTCTTTTTTCCTACTCTACTTTTGTTATTCTTTTGCTCTCTACTACCTATAGTTTGTCTTTAGATCTTCAGCTAATTTTATCTTTACTCATTTTCTCTTGCAATGAGAGTAAGTGACATGTAGTATTGTATTTCTCTTTAATTACCCATAGTTCATTTGGTTCTGAGCTACATAGTATTTTATTATGTAAACAAATACTTTTATAAACTTTTCTATTACTTATTCTGTATTAGAAGACTCCATGTCTTTTCAGTTAATTAATATTATCTTACTGCAAATAAATGTGGAAATCATTTACCTCTTTCTGTATTCATGATGCTATTCTTGTCATGTATTACATATAAATATATTAATAAATTCATGATACAATGTTATACTTTTTAGTTTAAACAATTTTTTTTTATTGTTTTTTGTTTTGTTTGTTACATCCCCAGTCCTTTTTTTTTTTTTTTTGGAACCGGGGATTGAACTCAGAGGTCCTCAACCACTGAGCCACATCTCCAGCCCTTTTTGTATTTGTTTTAGAGACAGGGACTCACTGAGTTGCTTAGTGCCTTGCTGTTGCTGAGGCTGGCTCTGAACTGGCGATCCTTCTGCCTCAGCCTCTCAAGCCGCTGGGATTGTAGACATGTGCCACCTCGCCCCGCAACAGTTCTTTTATTTTTTATTTTGAGACAGAGTCTTGCTAAGTTGCCCAGATGGTCTCTAACTTATTATCCTCCTGCCTCAGCATCCTGAGTCACTGGAATTGCAATCATGCACCACTAGGCTTGGCTGCTATACATTTTTTGTAAGCAACTTTGAAGGCATAATTTATAGATGCTCTCCTTTTTTTAAAAGAACTTTTTAACTGGGTATAGTGGTACATGCCTGTAGGCTCAGCTGCTCAGGAGACTGATGCAGGAAGATCCATTGAGTCTAGGAGTTTGAGGTCACCCAGAGTAACGTAGCAAGACCTGTCTCAAAAACAAACAAAAAAGGATATATATATATATATATTTTTATACACACACACATACATACACACACACATACATATATGTGTAGGAAGGATATATATACACATACATAACATATACACACACATACATATATGTGTAGGATTGAACCCAGGGATGCTTAACCAGTGAGACACATCCCCAGTTCTTTGTTTTAAAAAAAAATTATTTTTTATTTTATTTATTTATTTTTTTTGAGATGGGTCTCACTAAGTTGGCTAGGGCCTTCTTAAAATGCTGAGGCTGGCTGTGAATTTGTGAGTTGCTGGGATTATAGCATGGCACAACACCCTGCTCTTGAGGTATAATTTACAGGACACAAATCTACCAGTTTTAAGTGTATATTTCAGTGATTTTTTTTTTTTTAAATAAATTTCAGTTTTGCAACCATCGCCATAATCGAATTTTAAAACACTTATGTCTGGGAATTTATTAAAGCCTGAATTGAAAATGTGTTTCTCCACATGTAATTTGAGATGGTTTTGAGTATTTTACTAAACTCATTTAAAATATTTAGCAGTGAGCTGAGGCTGTAGCTCAGTGGTAGAGCACTTGCTCGCAGGTGTGAGGCCCTGAGTTCAATCCTCAGCACCACATAAAAATAAATGAATAAAAATAAAGATATTAAATAAAATGAAATATTTAGCAGTTATTCTTTTGTGTCTTCTTAATGTTATATATTATTTCATTCATACATAATGAGTTTGCCCTTTTGCTAAAGAGTCAATTATAATGCTTCTGTTATGCTTTTTTATTTGTTCAGAATTTCTGCACCATTGTTAAATCATCATTATGATAGCATTTTAGGACTCTTGATCCTGATTAGCAATTGGTTTCAATAGATATGATTTATTATGTTTGAGGAATTTACTACATTTAGAATTAGGCTTTTCCTGTGCTTCCAGCATTTATTGAAAGTTTACATGTGTTTTCCTCTTTGATTTTTAAAAAAATTGTGGAAAATTATTAAATATTTTTGTAGCATCATATCTTTTGCATTTCTGTGATTGTATATGTTATCCAAATGAAAAGTTCTTTTCACCAGGCTCAGGAGACTGAGGCAGGAGGATTGAGAGTGCAAAGCCAGCCTCAGCAACAGTGACGTGCTAAGCAACTCAGTGAGACCTTGTCTCTAATGAAATACAAAATAGGGCTGGGAATGTGGTTCAGTGGTTGAGTTTCCCTGAGTTCTACCCCCACACCCTCCTCCCCACCATGCCAGGGAAAAAAAAGAAGTTCTTTTCATGCCCCATAAAATTGGTTTTGTAAAATTTACAAATGAAATTGGTACTTAACTTTCCATTTTGTGCTGTTCATAAGGTTTTAGTGCCTTATAGGCATTATAGGGTATACTACCTTTGTAAAATTAATGGGATAGCTTTTCTTTTCTTCCCCCTCACCTGAAAAGTTCCCCTGGTAACACTTTTTTCCATTAAAGACTGTTTTAAAGGTAATTGATTCATTTTGTCGTCTTTTTAATCTTTCACCATTGTTTTACTTGTGTTTTATTCTTTAGACCAGTATTAATAATGTATTCTTGCCTAGAAAGTTGTCCATTTCATACCTATAAATACTAGTCTTGTTTTGTCTCTTTATTTATAATATTACTCTGTTTACCTTTTCCTCTCAACTAGGTTATAGGTTGTTTATTTTTCTTTCCAAAATACTAGCACCTGGATAATTTTATGAGTTTTGATGTTATTATTTGTTGTTATTTTTCAAATGTTGTTTAAAAGGAAGGGTTTTAGTTCATTTTATTATGTATATTTGAGGTTTATAAACTTATCAGATACTTGGAAACAGTGAAGTGGACTGAAATGAAGTAGCTTAACATGTCTGTCATCTTACCTTTTTTAAAAATATATATATTTATTTTAGTTGTAAATGGATTTTTATTTTATTTTTATGTGGTGCTAAGACTTGAACCCAAGGCCTCACACATGCTAAGCAAGTGCTCTACCACTGAGCCACAATCCCAGCCCCATTTCACTTACTTTTTGTGTGTGACAAAGCAGCTATAACCTACTTATTTAACAGAAGTTCACAATATAATACAATTTTATTAATATTAATTTTCATATTACAATTAGGTTTTTAGACTTGTTGCATATCTTAAATATTTTCTATTCTTTGACTTTACATCTCCTTATTTCTTCTCCCACTTAAAGGAGTTTTGATGTCCTTTTTGACATAGTTGTTTATAAATGCTTTTATTCTCAAAGAAATGTTTGCTCAGATTAAATTTATTGATTTTTACAATGATCCTTTTAAAATTCTTTTTTTGAAGGCACGGGATGTGCGTACCAATGAAGTGGTGGCCATCAAGAAAATGTCTTATAGTGGAAAGCAGTCTACAGAGGTAGGTTAAATATGTACATTTTTATTTATATGTTAGGGAATGAAATACTATTTTTAATTGGAGACAAAAGGTTGGAACTCTTTTAGGAATTTTAATGTATAATATATACAAAAGTGTACAAGCTGGGCGTGGTAGTGCATACCTGTAATCCCAACAGCTCTGGAGGCTGAGGCAGGAGGTTCGAGAGTTCAATGATAGCCTCAGCAAAAAAAAGCAAGGCGCCTAAACAACTCAATGAGACCCTGTCTCTAATTAAAATATAAAATAGGGCTGGGAATGGGCTCAGTGGTCAAGTGCCCCAGTACTGCCCCCCCCCAAAAAAAAACAATAACAGCAATAAAATAAATATGTGCAAATCTTACATTTTACCTGAATGAATTTTTCTTATTTAAGTATTAACGTCTGGCCAGAACAAAATTTTAATGGCAGCCCCAAAGCCCTCCCAACTTGTGTCCTCTGTTTTTAGGTTACTACTATTCTGATTCTTTTTTATTCTAAATTTGTTTACAAAATATAATCTCTCTCTCTCTCTCTCTCTCTCTCTCTCTCTCTCTCTCTCTCTCTCTCTCTCGTGGTTCTGGGAATTCAACCCTGGGCTTCATACATGCTAGGCAAATTCTATACCTCAGAACTGTATCACCAGCTCATAATCTACTTTTTCATGAATTTATTTTTTTAGTTGTTGTTGGACCTTATTTCTGTTCATTTATTTATATGTGGTGCTGAGTATTGAACCTATTGACTTGCACATGTGAGGCAAGTGCTATACCACTGAGCTATAACCCCAGCTCCTCATAATCTACTTTTTAAATCTAAAATTCTGAGAGTGTTTAATTTAAAAAAATTTTAAAGATTTTAATTATGATGAAATACGCATAACAAAACTTGCCATCTTAAACATTTATAAATGTACAGTTCAGTAGCATTAAATATATTCATATTATTTTGCCACCATTATTACTATACTTCTCCAAAACTTTTTCATTTTCCCAAACTGAAACTCTATATTTATTAAAGAATAATTCTCCATTCCCCAGCCCCTACCAACTACCATTCTATTTTTCCTTTCTCTTATGAATTTGAGTACTGTAGGTATTCTGTATTGGGAGTCGCCCCAGCTCCAAAGACTATTCTCCCCATCCCCCAGAAGAGCCGTACAATGGTGAACCCTGCTGGTTCACATGATCCTTACCCACCAATCAGATTAGCCCTGCTGGCTCACATGATCCTTACCTACCAGTCAGAAAGCACCCCATGCCAACTGTTAAAACCATTCTGTTATAACTGTCAAACCACCCCTGGCTCTATAAATATGCAGAGCTGTTCCTCAATAAACGGGCATTTTCTCCAACGATGAGCCTTGTTTGTTCTTTAATTCTGTACATGGAATCATTTAGTATTTGTTCTTTTGTGACTAACTTATGTCATGTAGCATGCATCATGCCCTTTTGAAGACTGAAAAATACTCCATTGTATGTGTATCTCATATCAATATATTAGCCTTTCTATCTGTACACACACTCACACCTCACATTTATATTCGTATCATCTATAAATGGATACTTGGGTTGCTTCCAGCCCTTGGCTATTATGAATAATGTTGCTATGAATGTAAAATATTTCTTTTGCATCCTTACTTTTAGTTATTTCGGGTATATGCCCAGAAGTAGAATTGCTGGATCTGTTCTAAAGATTTTGGTTTTATACTTTTTGGAATCTAATTTATGGTGAATCATGTTTTTATGATGATCATAATTTGTGGGTATGATAATATTGTTAGGATTATATCATGGTTCATCATTTTGATCTCTTAAAAACTCCTAATATTTCTTGCAGGTTTAATTTTATTCATTATTGTATAAAATAACTTTAGAACTAGCTATCATGGGCTGTTGATTATACTTAAGTCTAATAATTGATTAGTCATACCTAGAACAAAAAAGTTCATTTATAGCATCATCTATAACATATAATATTAGTTTCTTTTATGAAAGTTTTTTCATTAGAGGAATATAATTTATAAGACTCTGTCTCCCAGAGTATTCAAATTTAAAATTTAAAGTTCATAAAATAGGTTTTCTGAAGTTAGTATTTTATAATATATTGTAGTACGTTGTAAACTATATCATATAATTTATTTTAAATTTTTATTTTGACATTTCATCTAAACAGCATAAATCATGTTTCAATGTTTTATTGTATAAAACATTGAAAATATTTTGTGTATTTGGTTGTGTGCTTGTGAAATAACATCAGAGATATGATATTAAATCTAGTATAAAACATTTCTTAAAGTTTCCTATTATACTACTTTCCCTGCCCTTAATTATATAGTCCTAATCAGCAGTAAATCTTCAAAAAAACCAAAACAAGAACAAAAAACAGATTCCTAGTTCCCATTTCATACCTACTAGACCTCTAAAATTTCTGCATATGGATCCAAGGCCTTATTTCTTTTGTTTGTTTGTTTTTTGCAATTCTGGGAGTTGAACCTAGGAACCTTATGTATTTTAGGCAAGCATTCTACCACTGAGGTATATTCCTAGCTATTTAAGACAGTTTCACTAAGTTGCCGGGGCTGGTCTCCAATTTGTGATCCTCCCGAATTAGCCTCCTGAATTGTTATTTTTTTATTTTATTTTTTTTCAGTTTTCTGTGGACACAACATCTTTATTTTATTTTTATGTGGTGCTGAGGATCGAACCCAGCACCCTGTGCATGCCAGGCAAGCACGTTACCGCTTGAGCCATATCCCCAGCCCCATCTTGAATTGTTTTGATTAAAAGTATGTGTCACATGGGGATGGGGCTGGGGCTAGGGCCCTGGGGCTCAGTGGTAGTGCACTTGCCTGGCACGTATAAAGTCAAGAGTTTACCTGTATTTCCTGGTAGATATTAGTGAGGAAGGCTCTTCGCAAAATGTGTAGGAAAAGGTTTTCATACTGTTGCTTTTCTGTGAACTTGCCTATACAATAACTAATTCCATTAGCATTTTAGAATATGCGTTTAGGAACTTAAATTTCAGAGAAATTATTTCATTTGAATTAAGAACGAAAAAAAGATTAACCCTAACATTTAGAAGAAATAAGTCAGAAAACACAATAGATGAACTTTATGGTATGTAAATTTAAAAAGTGGGTGCTGGGGAGGGTCTGAGGCTGTAGCTCAGTGGTAAAGCTCTTGCCTCACATGTGTGAGGCACTGAATTCGATTCTCAGCACCCCATAAAAATAAATAAAGATACTGTGTTCATCTACAACTAAAAAATATTCATAAAAAATATTTTTAAAAAGTGGGGGATGCTGGGGATGTGGCTTAGTGGTAGAGTGCTTTCCTAGCATGTGCAAGGCCCTGGGTTCTAACCTCAGCAGCACATAAAAATAAATAAAATAAAGGTATTGTGTCCAACTACAACTGAAAAATAAAATTAAAAAGCGGTCATTGGGTAATTGATGTGATAGTAATTCTACAGTGGTATGTGCATAATACTGATTTTTCTTTTGGGAAAAAAAATTACTAAATGTGTTACATAATTATCATCACATGCTTGATAGTGTGTGAACTATCACAAATGAAATAATTTTGTAAATTATGCAATTACATTGTAAACTATCATATAATTTATTTTAAATTTTTATTTTGACATTTCATCTAAACAGCATAAATCAAGCTTTTTTTCCTATAGCTTTCTTAGGAAAACAAACTGTTCATATCTTTTCCCTTATTTCTTTTTTCTCCCCACAGAAATGGCAAGATATTATTAAAGAAGTCAAATTTCTACAAAGAATAAAACATCCCAACAGTATAGAATACAAAGGCTGCTATTTACGTGAACACACAGCATGGGTTGGTATCTGTCCTCCTTGTTGTAATTTTCATTGGTTTTGGTTTAGAATGAATTAATTCTGAATGTCTTGAACTGATTGTGAAAAGGTATGAACAAACACCTGAAGTGTTAGCAAAAGCAGCATTTTCTAGAACTCATAGACAATAAGAGATAATAGAACTTTTGCAAGTTTACTGCAGATTTTCTCCAGAATTCAGATGACTTCTATATATATGGTAAAGTTTCCTCTGATACTTTCAATGATACCATGTAAACATTGTGAAAACAGTCCTGTTAATTTAAAAATAAAAGTAATGTATCCTAGCCTGGCGTGGTGGCGCATGCCTGTAATCCTAATAGCTCCAGAGGCTGAGGTAGGAGAATTGCAAGTTCAAAGCCAGCCTCAGCAAAAGCGAGGTGCTTAGCAACTCAGTGAGACCCTGTCTCTAAATAAAATAAAAAAATAGGGCTGGGGATGTGACTCAGTGGTTTAGTGCCTCTGAGTTCAGTCCCTGGTACCCCCCAAAAAAGTTAATGTATCCTTTTTAACATAAATGTATTATAATTTTGGTGAAGTTCTGTGTGTTATGGTGAAATTTGAACTGATCATGATTCTTTGGCTGAATAATACTAAAAGTATAGAATTGAAACATTTTGTTACAAGGAGTTTAATTTTACCCTGTTACCATTGAGGTGGGATGATAATAATTCTATAGTGGTATAGGTATAATAAGTGAATCCTTCTTTTTTTTTTTAGCTGTAGATGAACATACAATATCTTTGTTTATTGATTTTTTTTTTAAATGTGGTGCTGAGGCTCAAACCCAGTGCCTCACACATGTGAGGCAAGCGTTCTACACTGAGCTACAGCCCTAGCCCCTAATAACTGAATTTTTAAAGAGAGATTAAATTTATTTTAAATAAGAATTACCCCTCATTTTGAATAAGTAATAAGCTACAGCTGAATATCATTTTAATATACTTAGATTTGTAATGTTTTGTACTTGTTTGTTGGTACAGGAAGTGAGGATTGAACCCAGAGGCACTTAACCACTGAGCCACATCCCCACTTCTTTTTATTTTTTGAGATAGGGCGTCAACTAAGTTGCTTAGGGCCTTGCTGAGTTGCTGAGGTTGGCCTCGAATTTGTGATCCTTCTGCCTCAGCTTCCCATGTCATTGGGATTATAGATGTGCACCATCACGCCCAACTTACATTTTTATTCAATTTGATTTTGGTGGTGGTGACTCCTAAAACTGAGTCCATGGTTAAAGAAAAAGCAGTAACATTGGGCAGACTGACTCTATGTCTTTCAAATTTCTCCATCTATAAAACAAGGAGGTAGTAGGACCTAACTAAAAGGATTTTGTGAGGATTAAAATGGTTAATATATTTAAAATACTTGGCACAGAGTGATTCTCTGTGTTTTTTTTTTTAAAAAGAGAGAGAATTTTTTAGTTCTTGGCGGACACAACATCTTTGTTCGTAGTGCTGAGGATCGAACCCGGGCCGCACGCATGCCAGGCGAGCGCGCTACTGCTTGAGCCACATCCCCAGCCCCTGTGTTTGGTTTTAAAAAATAAAATAATTTAGAATTGGGCTTGATGGTGCATGCATGTAGTCCCAGCTACTCTGGAGACTGAGGTGGGAGGATTGCTGAGCCCAGGAGTTCCAAGACCAATCTGGGCAACATAGTAAGACCCAACTCAAAAAAACAAAGAGACAAACTAAGTTGTCACCTAAGCTTTGTACATATATTTCCAGAGAACAGAGTTTCCTTTCTTCTTTTTTTTTTTTTAAGTTGGACACAATGCCTTTATTTTATTTACTTATTTTTATGTGGTGCTGAGTATCGAACCCAGTGCCTTACACGTGCTAGGCAAGTGCTCTATCACTGACCCACATCCCCAACAGAGTTTTCTACCTCCTACCAATAATCAGTTTTGTTTTTGTAGTCTAATAGTAACAGAAGATCTATATTACTTTTTAATTTTAATTAGTAATTGCATATGAAATGCACAGCTTATAGAAGTGATTACATGTTGACATTATTAAAAGACAACTATCTCCTCATTAGCTTAATTTAATATGCATTTAACAAACTGATAAATGTGTAACTTTTTTATTTCTATCCACTTTTATTTATTTAAGTCTAAATAGACTATTTTATTTTTACCTTTATTTTGTTTATTTATTTTTATGTGGTGCAGAGGATTGAACCCAGGCCCTCGCACATGCTAGACGAGCGATCTACCACTAAGCCACAATCCCAGCCCTTATTTTTTTTAATTCTTTTATTTTTTAAATACATAACAGCGAATGCATCACAATTCTTTTTTTATTAATATTGATTTTTTTAGTTGTAGGTGGACACAATGTCTCTATTTTATTTTTATGTGGTGCTGAGGATTGAACCCAGTGCCTCACATGTGCTAGGTGAGCGCTCTACCACTGAGCTACAACCCCAGTCCCCATCACAATTCTTATTACACATATAGAACACAATTTTTCATATCTCTGTTTGTATATAAAGTATGTTCACACCAATTCATGTCTTCTTACATGTACTTTTTTAAGGTAAACAATACCTAGTTTGTTCTACTTCAAAGTATCTTTTGGACCTCTGGGCAAATTAATTTTATCTCCACTGGAATAATTCTATATATTTTAATGTTTTTGTAATTTTTCTTCCTGTGTAGCTTGTGATGGAATATTGTTTAGGATCTGCTTCAGATTTATTAGAAGGTAGGTTTCCTTTGATTATTTTTTTTAAAAGCATTAACAGTTAAAATGATAGTTCAGTTAGAGATTATTTAAATAATGTTAATACAAAATAAACAATAATTTCTAGAAAGAGTAAAATTCTTAACTCTCCAGGTTCTCAGTATGTTATATTATCCTTATAAATACTACATAGTGTATAAAATAAACAAGTTTTCACTTGTGACTTTGCAAGCATTTTTCTGGATTCTTTGTCATTCAGCTTCCATTCAAAACAAAGATAAGTGAGAATAAATGGAAAACTTCTTTTTTACTTTTGTTTTTTATAATAACAAATAATTTTTTAATATTTTTAACTATGAGGGATATTGGCTGAGAATTATACTTCAATAGCTAGCACAACTGTATACCAGTTATAAAGTTAATAGACTGTTTTAGCATCATAAGACTTCTCTTATTAAATGTCAGACTACCCATATATCAGATATATAAGTTTATTTTTTTAAACAAAAACTTCTGTGTAGTAATTATTTTCAAATGCATTCTTAATTTTAAGTTCACAAAAAGCCATTACAAGAAATGGAAATAGCAGCAATTACACATGGTGCTCTCCAGGGATTAGCCTACTTACATTCTCATACAATGATCCATAGGTAAGTGCTTTGAAAATTATCACAGTGACAAGCAATTGTCTTATTGGATTTATCAGCCATATAGTTTGGTAACCCTGACATGTTTGTTGGTTATAGCCAAATAGAATTATATAAACTCATTTGTTGATTGTCCATGAATTAAAAATAACAGTACTACATTTGATCTCTCTGTTTAGGATAATTTTTATCTCTGTCTCCTGTACTACTGGGACTTCTAAAGTATATGCACTTAGTAGACTTACAGTAGAAATTTAATTATAGAATCATTTAATTTGCAAATGGAAAAGATATTAGGGATCAGATAGTCTTTTTCTTTTTACAGATGAAAAAAGCCAATGCCCCAGTTTTTGACTATAATTTCCCAAAGTTTGCAAAAGCCAAATATATTAGAGATAGAACTTGGCAAATCTTTTGTCTTCTTAGTAACTGATACTGCTATATTTTTCCTGTTGATTTCATGACATGGACAAAGACTGCTTTTGAGCATTAGCCCTTGATAATAGATAGTAATTTTGAAATTAAACCACTTTATAATGCATTTTTGGCACTGTAATTGGTTTTGACTGTATTAGGTAAAAAATAGTATTTTTAATTATTTGTTTGAATCAGGTAGTACATATTAGACTAGGTAATAGGGTCACTGTGAATTAACAGATTATTATGTTTTTAGTAGAGAATAGTAAAGTTCAAAGGAAATGCACTTATTAGAACATGATTAACAAGAGTTAGAATTAGAACTAGATTTTTTATCGACTTAAAAGTAGTTCTCTGTGTACAAGATCTCAGTTTCAGTTCCTTAGCACAAAGGAAAAAAGTACACTCCTCACTTTAAAAAAAAAAAAAAGTGAAAATAGATTTTTTTGCTATTATATGCACTGTGACAAGAGGAAGGAGAATAAATCCACTTAGTATTATATGTATTATAATACTTCAGGAATGAATAAGTGCTTGGAAATTTAGTTTCTCTTTTTCAATTGTTGAAAGGTTAAGTGTATGTTCCCATGCCCGTTGGAATGCAGTCCCATCATTTAATTATCCATAATTTTCTTAATTTGGATGGATAGTATGTTTGCTGTTTCAGAAAGATAAATTTGAAAGTAAATTTGGGATCATTAATAATACATTATCCATATGTTTCAATATTTATTTCACTTTGAGTTAGGAGAACTATATTGAAATTTGAAAAAGATATGAATAAACCTTCTTAAAAAAAGAGAAACAAGTTTGGAGAATAAGTTTTTTTGTTCTTTTTTCCCTTTTTTAAGCATAAGCGGGATACTCAGAAATCTTACACATTGTGAAGGGGTTATTAGCCAATTAAATTCTGTTTTGAAAACCATTGTTTGTTTTTGATAAATAGACTCTATGTTGCAGTTACCTGTCTGTCATTTTTAAACTGCTTTTTATCTTCTCTTTTAGAAAAGTTACTATATTTTGAATTTTATATTTTTTGTTATCTAATCTTGATATCACAATTGTGAGTTATCCCAGCACTTATTTTTATTTCATTTTCTCCATTTTAAAAATTCTTAATTGATTTGTTTCATTTTAAACACAATGTAATGAAAAAAAGACGAATTAATTTTCTTTGTTCCTTAAACTCAGAGATATCAAAGCAGGAAATATCCTTCTGACAGAACCAGGCCAGGTGAAGCTTGCTGATTTTGGATCTGCTTCCATGGCATCCCCTGCCAATTCTTTTGTTGGAACACCATATTGGTAAGAATGTTTCTATCTGTATTGATTCTCATAGATATCATTTTGGACATTTTTACTTTGAGTATTATACTTAATTTTAGAGTGCTGCCCTTTTTATGTTTTTGTTTGTTTGTTTTTTCATCTATGCCACATTTGCTTTCCTATTACTATCTTTATCAAATATTGGGTGTGGGAGTGAAAAAAGTGAATAAAATTCAAGTGGAGTAGGAGGTGGATATGCTAAATGGTAAATTGTATGCTTTCTTTAAATTTAAGACATAGTATTTAAAGTCTGGTAACTGCTGGGTGCAATGACTCACATCTGTAATTCCAGCCCCTTGGGAGGCTGAGGCAGGAGGATCACAAGTTCAAAGCCGGCTTCAGCAACTTAATAAGACTTTGTCTCAAAAATAAAATACAAAAAAGGCCTGGGGATGTGGCTAAGTGGTTAAACAATCCAGGGTTTAATCCCCGGTAACAACAATAACAACAACATCAAAGACTGGCAGCTGATTTGGAATTTTGACTTAGATGTGTTTTGTTTTTACTCATTAGCATGGAGGATTTCAGATATATATGTAAAAGTGGACAAAAGTATGATGATGTTCTTTTTATTTTTTTTTTTAGTTGTAGAGGTACACAAACTTTTATTTTGTTTATTTATTTTTATGTGATACTGAGGATTGAACCCAGTGCCTCACACTTATTAGACAAGTGCTCTACCACTGAGCCACAATCCCAGACCCTGATTTTCTTTTTTAATATAACAATTACCAAACAAACATTACCAATTCTGCTTTGTGTACTCCCATTTCTTCCCATCCCAGTTATTTTTAAGGAAATCCTAGACATCACCTAATTTCTTCTGTAAATAATGCAGAATGTATCTGTCAGCAAAAGTTTGAAGGGAGGAACTGTGGTTATAGTTCCTAGACATCACCTAATTTCTTCTGTAAATAATGCAGAATGTATCTGTCAGCAAAAGTTTGAAGGGAGGAACTGTGGTTGAGCGCTTGCCTCCCATGTGTGAGGCACTGTGTTCCATCTTCAGTACCACATTTAAAAAATAAATAAATAAAAATATTGTGTCCATCTACAACTAAAAAAATATTGTTAAAAAAAAGTTTGAAGGGAATAATTTTCAGATCTTTAACTTCCATATGTATCCTTTTTATATTCATTGCATCTTCTTTCTTGCCTGCCTTTTAAATCATCCGTTTCCTACTTTATAATGGAAAAACTTCTTACCTATTTTGAATATTATAATGATGCATTGCTCTGGGATGTAAAAGCCTCAGAGGCATACTGGAAAGACATTTTGAGAATGTTGGGCGTCTATGAGAAATAATGAAGAGTCAGGACATACACTAATGGCAAAGCCCTCACTCTTTCTAGTTGTCTTTTTTCTTTTCTTTTACTTGACATTTTCTTTCTTTCCAATAACTTATTTCCCCTCTGTCCCTCCTTTCCTTCCTTCCTTTCTAGTATGGAATTTGGGACCTGAGATGATGATTATGAGAATACATAAAAATTTTTTAAAAAATTAATATATGCCTTATACGTACTAGGCAAGTGCTCTGCCACTGAGCTACAGCCCCAGTTCACATTAAAATGTTTAAATTGCATCAAAAAATGAAGTTGGACCTCTTTATGACAGAAAGTGATTCTGATTTGTCTAATTGATATGATATGATCTTCAGGTTAGCTTTGCTAATTAGGTTTTATGGCAATTTTTTTTTTTTTTTTTTTTTTTTTTGTGTGTGTGTATATGTGTTCTGGGATTAGAACCCAGGGGTATTCTGAGTCCCAACTCTTTTTTGTTCTTTATTTTGAGTTAGGGTCTTGCTAAGTTGCCCAGGCTGGCCTTGAATTTGCAATCTTCTTTCCTCAGACTGCTGAACAGCGTGGATTACAGGCACGTGCCACCACTCCCAGCTGTATATGACAGTGTTTTTAATGAATTAACTAAACCAATTCTGCAACTCCAAGTTTTAAGTATCTTTAAAGCTCACCTATAATATACAATATTTGTATACAATGAAATTTATAAAATGTAAATATCAACCCCAAAATGTACAATGGGATGAAAAAATTTTTTTTAAATTCTAGGAGGCAAATACATTAAAAAATTTGAAAACCACTGCTTGTATAGGATGTTAGTCTATACTATATAGAATCCTCATCCTCTGTTTAGTGAGTTTTCTGAGCCAATAATACTTCTTAACAATTCCCCATTTTATAAATTGGTGATGAATATTTGATGATAAAGAGGGTCTGAAATGTCCTTCAATAAAAAAATATAAAAATTACTCTTGAAATTTGATTGATTTAGAAATTTCCTAAACTTAATTAAATATTTTAAAGAAAACTCATTAAACACCCAGTTATTGATAATGGAAAGTTTACTTTATTAACATACTTGTTAATTTTTATATAGTGTATTTGGAATATAAGAACGTGGTGTTTATACTGTTAGACACACATACACACATACTGGGGATAGCAGTCCATCTTACTGAAGTAGTTAGTAACTCTTTTAGGTGTTCATCTGTGCTTAACACCAAATACAAATGAAGTGTTAAGTATATTAGACTTAGCCGTGTGTGGTAGTGGATGTCTATAATCCCAGTGACTCAGGAGGATCACAAATTCAAGGCCAGCTACAACTTAGTGAGACCCTAAGCAACTTTACAAGACCCTATCTAAAAAACAAAAAGGCTGGGGAGTTAGAGTGTACCTGGGTTCAATCCATAGTACCGCATATGTAGACACACAAAAGAATATTAGATTCTAGTTGTAGACATGAATTGGTTTTCATTTTAAAACTTAAAAACACATAAGAGAGAGGTTCTCAAAATGGCGGAATGGAGGAAGTTTTTTCGTGGCTGATCCATGGAGTAAAACCAAGAAAGCATGCAGATAGACTCTCAGCCAGGTGGGTTAACAGAAAGAAGCGGGGGACTTTACTGATATTTAAACTGGATATTCAAAGCAGATCGGGGACTCAGGAGGTTGGATATAATAAAATAAGGAAGAAATCTCCAGCAGCACAGCCTCAGCAGGGCTGGAAGTACCAGCCAGATCGGTTCTTCGGTGAGCATAGCAGAAAGATAAGGGAATTAAAGAAACCTGCATTTTTGGGAGGCCTGAAGCTGTCTGAAGCTGGGTATGGAGTGTTTAAAGATCAAGGACATTGCCTAGCAAACCTGAAAGATGCACTGCACAATATCTGTATGTGGGGATAGAAGCTGCCATCTCTCCAGGAGGTATACAGAGGACTAAGGAAGGAACCATTTTGCAGCTGAGGGGACCAATTCCTGGCAAACCTGAATTTGTCATGAAATACAGGCCCAGTAAATACACACTGCAAGACATAGAGTATCCTTAAGTGACCAGGAGAAAATCAAACATGGAGAGAGGTTTACACGGGACAATTGGTCACGGAAACCCACTTGGCTCAACCTGTCCTCCTCCAGTCTTACTGCTTGCAGGACCAGCTAGGAGAGATGCATCTGACTGGGAACTCAGAAAGGCAGGGACAGGAGAGATTGTTTAGAGACTGAACCTGAAATGTGGAGTCCACAGATGACATAGGGGATTAAGAATTGGCTCCCCCACGACACAAGTGGAACCCTGAGAGCCCTGAGGTATAGTCTCCCAGTGTGTACCAGCAAGTACTGGGCACTGTAGGTGCACTGATTAAAATCTCCAGACCAATTGGTATTTGGGGAAGAGCCTGAAGCCAATCTAAGCGTAAACCCTGCCTCCAGGAATTCCACCTATGGGATTATCTTTTTCACTCCAGCAATCTAGAGGGTGAAGAATCATGCTCCAGACAACCCCACCTAAAACTGATGAGAAGAGAAACTGAGAATTTTTTGAACTCCAAAGGAAAGAATTCTTTTTTCATCAAGATCTTTTTTTTTTCTTTTATTTTTTTTCTCTGTTAATTGTGACCTTAATGGTACATGGACATTCATACATTCATATTTGTTTTTTCCTCTCATTTTTGGCATTTTTGAAGCCAGAAATGAATGGGTGTTTGATTATGATTAGCATATTTTAGTTTTATATTTTAATTTTTACTTTATGTATATATATTTTTTTCTCCTACCTATTTCCCTTGATTCTCTTTTCTTCTGCTAACAGCCAATCTGTATTGCTCTCTTTTTTTACTCTTTACTACTTCTCTCCTCCTTCCTCATAATTATTATATCCTGTATTACTTCTGTTCTCTCTCTATCCACCATTTGGAATTTTAAACCCTTTTGCAAACTTGCTGTTTTTGTAGGCAGTAACTGATCATATCATTTCTGTTTGTTGTGATAATTGACATTGTAGGAACTATTTGATTTAATGATGCATATATTTTTGGGGTGGTTGTTGTTATTTGTTTCCCCTTAAATAGTGAAATACTGGAAACCTTCAGGGACACTAGGGTCCACTGCCTCAGATCCATACTGTTAAATGATAAAATACACAAACAACATGAAAAACAAGAGAACAAATTGCCCCAAACAAATCAAGGTACTCCAATAACAGAATCCATCAACACCACAGTGTAAGAAGTGTCAGAGAAGGAGTTTAGAATGTACATGGTTAAACTGATCTGCAAAGTAAAGGACAATATAAGAAATAAAACCAAGGGGCTGGAGCTTGGTGGTAAAGCGCTTTCCTAGCATGTGTGAGGCACTGGGTTCGATTCTTATCACCACATATAAATAAATTAATAAAATAAAGGTCCATCAACATCTAAAAAAAAATAAAAAAGGAAATGAAATCCGATAGAAAAATGCATGAAGTAGAAGATCACTTCAATGAAGAGTCAGAGATTCTGGAAAAATAGAAAACGTAGAAATTCTCAAAAATGAAGGAAACAATAAACCAAAGGAAAAATTCCATAGAAAGCATCACCAATAGTCTAGACCACTTGTAAGACAGAACCTCAGGTAATGAAGACAAAGTATATAATCTTGAAAATAGAGTTGACCATGGAGAGAAGATGACAAACCCAAGGAATGCACAGCCTTTTCAATGAAATAACATAAGAAAATCCCCAAGCCTAAAGAATGAAATGGAAAGTCAGATACAGGAGACTTACAGGACCCTCAATGTATGATTACAACAGACCCACACCAAGACACATTATAATGAATATGCCTAACATACAGAATAAGGATAGAATTTTTATTTTATTTTTTTTTAATTTTTTAGTGTTGGTTGTTCAAAACATTACAAATTTCTTGACATATCATATTCCACACTTTGATTCAAGTGGGTTATGAACTCCCACCTTCACCCCATACACAGATTGCACAATCACATCAGTTACACATCCATTGATTTACATATTGCCATACTAGTGTCTGTTGTGCTCCGCTGCCTTTCCCATCCTCCACCATCCCCCCTCCCCTCCTCTCCCCTCCCCTCCCCTCCTCTCTCTCTACCCCCTCCACTGTATAACCCTGAAGGATAGAATTTTTAATGTGAGAGAAAAATATCAGATTATATATAGGGGGAAACCAATTTGGATCTCAGCTAATTTCTCAGCCTAGACCATCAAAGCTAGGAGATCCAGGAATAACATATACCCAGCTCTGAAAGACAATGGCTGCCAACCAAGAATCCTATATCTAGTAAAATTAAGTTTCAGATTTGAAGATGAAATAAAAACCTTTCATGATAAACAGAAGTTAAATAATTTGCAAATAGAAATTCTGTACTACAGAACATTCTCAACAAAATATTCCATGAAGATGAAATGAAAAAAAAAAAAGTGAAAACCAGCAAAAGGAGGAATTACACTAAAGGAATACTTAATGATAGGATGAACTAATTCAAAGTAAAAACTAGAAATAAACCCAAATGACTAGGAGTACAAATCATATCTCAGTATGAACATTAATGGCTTAAACTCATCAATCGAAAGACTCAGACTGGCAAATGGGATTAAGAAACAAGACCCTACAATATGCTGTCTCCAGGAGACTCAGCTCATTGGCAAAGACATTCACAGACTGAAGGTGAAAGGATGGGGAAAAAAACGTATAACTCACATGGATCACATAAACAAGCAGTCCATTTATATCAGATAAAATGGACTCTAAGCCAAAGTTATAATGGATAAAGAAGACCATTTTATACTGTTTAAGGCAACCATACATCAACAAGGCAACAATTGGAAATATGTGTGCCCCAAACAATGGAACATCTACAGACATCAAACCCTTCTCAACTTCAACAAATAGACCACAACAAGATAATACTGGGACAATGTCACCTGCCTCTGTCACCACGGGGTAGATCCTCCAAACAAAAAGTAAATAATGAAGCAAAAAATACAATTGATAATTTAGACTTGACAGACGTATATATAATATTCATCCATCAATGACTGAATATACTTTCTTCTCAGCAGCATATGGATCCTTCTCTAATATAGACCCATGTGATGTAAGCTATCACATATTGGCATACAATTGTAATATTGCCTTATTATATTTTCATCATCTGTAGAGTTATTTTGATTGCTCCCTTTCCATTGATATTAATTTTTGTGTTCTTGCTTTTTTCTCAATTAAATTTAAGTTTATTTTTAATCAAATTTTGGCTCTATGATTTATTCTCTATTTTACATATTTCTGCTCCTACTCTTATTTCTTTCTTCCTACTTCATCATTTGAAAATAATTTGATTGTTATTCTAGCTTCTTTCTGAAACAAGTACTTTAAAGGTTCATCTGCGTATTGTTCCATCCCAGAGATCCTGATATTTTAAGCTTTTATTATCACATAGTTCAAAGCACCTTTTTATTTACTTTCATGTGCTTTCTTCCTTGACCCCTGAGATATTTATAAGTGTGCCATTTAATTTTGAAATAATTGACACCTGGGTGGGATTCTATGTATCTTAAGATGATTGATTTCTAATGTAATAAATCATACAGGAAACAGTATGCATGATCTCAAATTTTAAAAAGAGTAATGGAAGTACTTTTTATATTGACTGTATTGGTTACATACGTGTCAAAACTGATCAAATTGCATACTTCAAATATGTGCATTTTATTGTACTTCAATTTTACCTCAATAAAACTATAGGGGAAAAAAGACAATAAAAAAAAGATACACATAAAATTAATTTTGAGGTTGTTGGAGCCACTTTTTATCATGAAACAGTATTTGAAAGAGTCACAAACTATGGTTGTTCAGTCTTGGTAATTATGGCAGATACTTCTCAAATAAATGAAATGAGGTTGATTTTAAGAAAAACAACCTACAATATTTGTTGCTAGTGATAAAATTTAATCTTTAAAGCAAGAATTAGACTTTTTAAATGAAATCTTGAGACCAAGTGTTTGAGAACCACTGACCTAAAAGATATGCAATATTGGAATCTGCAGACTTGTACAGATGCAGAGACAGCCCTGCTCTGCAAAATTGTCCTTTTGGGATGCTGTTATATGGTCACGACAGACAGTGGGAATGAATCTCACTTTATATTCATTGCTAAATATTTACCTCACAACCTCTAGGGTGACTGTTTCCCATTATAAAAATTCTTATGTCCACATATTGGTTGGAATTTAAACCAATGTACTCTATGTAAATCTTCCTTATATTCTCAAACAATAATATATGTTTCTGTTAAAACTGTATATGAACATTTTGTTTTTAGGATGGCCCCAGAGGTAATTTTAGCCATGGATGAAGGACAATACGATGGCAAAGTTGATGTATGGTCTCTTGGAATAACATGTATTGAACTTGGTAAGCATTGTTCTTTATTACTGTGGATTAAATTTTGATTAATGTTTACTTCAATTACTATACCAAGTATTAGGTTTTTATCAGGTGCTAAATCTATTTAAGTTTTTACTAAATATTAAAGATTTCTTAAACATCTAGAATGTGCCCATTCATTACTAGATTTATCATCCAAAGAAGGTTTCTGAAGCATTTGCAGATGACTTACCCTTTTCTAGTGTAGTTATTACTTTGCATTAGGTATGAAAATTAGCTGTCAGGCTGTGTACTATATTGTAGCAGTTTTTTTTGTTTTGTTTTCTAAAGATGTTGAGACAGACTGTATTCACGGGGGACTATGGAAATAGGTATAGAAACCATTGTGATGGTGTTTTGCAATTGGGGAAAGAGATTAGAATCAACTCCCTATAACAGTTTGATTTTATACACACATTTGTTCTGTTATTTTTAAGTAGAACTATGCTTAAAGCAATGGACCAGCATAATTACTAACATTCCCACTGGAAGTAAGCCAAATAGGTGTCTGAATTGTTATTGAGTTTATTGTCAGCACTAGTTTCCATGCAAATACAGAGCTACTTTTTCCATTGAGAGGTATTAATCATAAGGGGAAAATGTCAAAATTTGAACCCATTTATCTTCACCTTTATAATTATTCTCCTATGTAAGAATAAATAATATGAACCTTTTCTCTGGAATAACCCCCCCCTTTTAAATTGGATTGTATTTTCTGAGATTTACTTTCTAGACCTTCTTTTTCTACCTCAGTTTCATTATTCTTACTTTGGGTGATATTTTGTAATCCACATATATGGAGAGAGAGAGATTTTATAAATAGGCTCACAAAATAATATAGAATAGGATCTTTAACTTTTTAAAAAATAGATGTGGTTTAAGTCAAATTTAGGTTTAGTAGTAGTTTATAAGAATTTGAGATAGAAAATGTCAGTCTAATCTGCCAAGTCAAAGACCTTAATAGTTGTCATAGATATAGATTATATCTTTCTTTAATTTATTCATAATTTCTTCAGTAACCTTTTCTTTTCCCGGACTACTCAATCGTAAAGCCACTGGTCAGGGTAGGTAGGTGTCCATGCCAGATGATAGGCTGTGGTAAGTCAGGGGTGAGTTTCAGAGTCAAATGAGTAGAATAAAGAGATCCCATAACCTGGTTTATAGAGATGTTTAGTGTGTATTGTATATATGTGTTTCTTTCTTTCTTTTTCTTTTTTTTGTACTAGGGATTGAACCCAAGGGCACTTAACCACTGAGCTACATCCCAGCCCATTTTTATATTTTATTTAGATATAGGGTTTCACTGAGTTGCTTAGGGCTCACTAAATTGCTGAGACTGCCTTTGAACTTGTGAACCTTTTGCCTTAGCCTCATAAGCCTCTGGTATTATAGGCATGTACCACTGTGCCTGGCTTTTATTTCTTAACTATGACTATTGAGAGCTTGAGAGCAATGACAGTAGCAGTGAGCATACCTAATAATATCCATTTTGGGGAAAACAGCTGATCTAGAATTTGGGGTACAAAAGTACAAGCTGATTCTGGGATATCTTAGTATACCAGAATAACAACAACAACAACAAAAAAGATCAAACAATAAATAGATCCTATCCAAAAGACAAAAGAAACCACCTTAAAAAAAGGTTCCTACTACTCAAATATGAGACAGTATGGACATCATCATCATCATCTCATCATAAATGAGAGAATATAATTTTACTTTTTGTTTTGGTCCTGAGGATTGAAACCAGAGGTATTCTACCACTGAGTCACATCCCAGCCCTTTCATTTTTTATTTTGAGACAGGGTTTCACTGAACTGCTTAGTGTCTCACTAAATTGCTCAGGTTCTCCTTGAATTTGTGATCCTCCTGCCTCATCCCTGAGTCATTGGGATCACAGGCACATGCTGTTGGTCCCCGGCTGTTTTTTGGTACTGAGGATTGAATCCAGACTCACTTTACCACTGAGCTATGTCCCCTGTACTTTTTACTTTTTATTTTGAAACAAGGTGTCACTGCATTGCTTAGGGCATCACAAAGTTGCCAAGTTTGCCTCAAATTTGGTGTTCTTTTCTCGTCTTCCTGATTTGAGTAATTTATTAAATAAAATAGAAATGTATGAATCTTTAAATAAATAAATGGGAGATTTATAGGAAACAGGATATTTATTAAATAAATTCAAAATACCTTCTTATAAAATGCTTACTAAGTACACAGGAGAAAAGAGAAGCTAACTTGAAGCCTGGCAGATATGGTCTTCACCAAGTCATCAAAATGAACACCATCATTAAGGACACCACTTGAAATCATGTGTTTCTCATAGGGTACCATAAGCAAAATATACCATTACTTTAAAATATTCCTTCCAAGATGTGTGATCCAAATCTAATAATGGGAAAAGACAAATCCAAACTGAGGGCCATTCAAGAGTCCTTTTACTTCCAAATTGTAAAAGTGGTGACTTCAACTTTGATCTTAAGAAACTGGAGGGCTGGGATTGTGGCTCAGTGGTAAAGTGCTCGCCTAGCACAGGCGGGGCCCGAGTTCGATCCTCAGCACTACATAAAAATAAAGGCATTGTGTTGTGTCCATCTACACCTAAATATATATATATAAAAGAAAGAAACTGGAAAAAGCAAATTGAGTCTGAAACAAGGAGAAGAAAGGGAAGAATAAAGATCAAACCAGAAATCAGTTTATAGAAAACAAAATGTAGAGAAAACCAGCAAAATAAAACACTGGTTCTTTGAGGATCAATAAAATTGGTAAACATATTGGATACTGATTAGGAACAAAAGATAAAACCAAAAATTTCCAGTTACAGTGAAGATTTTATAAATATTATGGATTTTATGAATATTAAAGGGTAATAAGGAAATATGAACAATTTTCTGTCTATAAGTTTGACAACTTGATAATGGAAGGAAATTACTTAAAGGACACTTAAAGGACACAAGCTATCAGAGTTCACTTTTGCTACCTAGGACATAGAATGAAACTTGCAGGGGGTTTGAAGGATAGATAAGAATCATCAGTGGGGCTGGGATGTGGCTCAAGCTGTATTGCGCTCGCCTGGCGTGCGTGCGGCCCGGGTTCGATCCTCAGCACCACATACAAACAAAGATGTTGTGTCCGCCGAAAACTAACAAATAAGTATTAAAAAAAATTAAAAAAAAAAAAAAAAAAGAATCATCAGTATTATTATATAAGCCTATTTGAATGGATATAGTATGGTTCTTCAGGAAAATGTTCTTGTTGACAGGAAATATATACTTAAATATTTCAAAATGGTGGAGCATCATATCAGAAATTTATTTCCACTTGAAAAAGTTATTTGTACTTTCCTTGCAATTTTTTTAATAGATTTAAGATTGTTTCAAAAGAAGAAACTTAAAGAAAAGGAAAAAAAATTGAACAATACTTGAGTTCCCCTTTAACACATATATTTTAATAGGAAAGTTTCCTTTATTTTACAGCGGAAAGGAAGCCTCCTTTATTTAATATGAATGCAATGAGTGCCTTATATCACATAGCCCAAAATGAATCCCCTACACTACAGTCTAATGAATGGTGAGTATTACTAAGAGATACTGTGTGATATTGTATAAATGAAATGCTTTTTACATAATTTGTTATCACAATGGCAATTTTTTTAGGTAAATCATGTTACTTAAGAGATATTAAAATATGTTTATTTTACTCTTATGTTTATATGTTGTCCTATCTGCATTTCATAGCATATGTATATATATGAAATTCTGGTCAGAAGGAAAGGATAGATTGTTACATGGATGTAAAAAAATATTGGTTTTTATAATAATTTATATTTTTAGAACTTCAAGAATATATATAACCCTAATTATATAAAAGTTTTTAAATATTAATATTTTAAACTGAACATATGTATAGATGATTGCAACCTATAGTGATATTTGATCAAGGAATGGGTTATAATTTATATATTATAAAACTGTAGGTAAAATGATTTGACTTCATCAAAATTGCCAGATAATTGAAAACTTTGGGATCATTTTAGTTATAATTGTGATATTATTCAGATTTCTCTAATGTTCCTTCTACTGCGTCCTTTATTTGATAAAATTAAGTTCATTCACATAAAGAAGGTTTTTTTTTAATCCATGGTAAAAAATTATACCAGAAGAGCCATGCATGGTGGCTCAGACCTATAATCTCAGTGACTTGGGATTCTGCGGCAGGAGGATCACAAGTTCAAACCCAGCCTCAGCAATTTAGCGAGGTCCGAGCATCTTAATCAGACCTTACCTCAAAATAAAAAAATAAATAGGGGTGGAGATGTGGCTCAGTGGTCAACTGTCTCTGAGTTCAATCCCTGGTATGAAACAACAACAACAATAAAACGGAATTTTTTTCTCACTATTCTGAAGTTCAGAACAAAGACTACTAGCAGGTTAGTGCTCAATCTCTGCTTCCAAGAAGGTGCCTGGAACCCTGCATCCTCAGCAGGGAAGGACTGTTGAGTACTCTTAGGCCAAAGAACAGGAGAGAGTAAAGCTGTCCTTGCATCCCTTTTTATTTTGCCATTAATCTGTTCATGTGGGCAAAGTCCTCATTACCTAAACACCTCTTATTAGGCCCTGTCTACCAAAACCGTTGCATTGGGAATTAAATTTCATCTTGAGTTTTGCTGAGGAAAAAAATATTCAAACCATAGCATGACATATGTTAAGTTATAAATATATTGAACACAAACTGTGCTTGTACTGTGTTTGAGACTTTGGGGATTTATAAAAGAAAGCATTCTTGCCTACAATGAACTTAAAAATCTTATTTGAATTTTGGAGGCAAACATTGATGGAATAATTATTATTTACTAGGATTATAGGCATGTACGTAATATAAAATATGTAATCACTGAACTCTAATGAATAACACCATATAATAATATGATACAGATTTTTTTCTTAGCCATTTGTTCAGGGTCATCAAATAACTCAGGTATAAAAAGTTCTTTCTCCAGAATAGGTCGAGTGATGTTCTAAAACATACTATATAAAGAAAGATCTAAGGGACTAATTTTAAAAAGTGCCTTAGAGAAAAGGAAAAAGGAAAAGAAAGTGGGAAGGAATACAATGTTGTAATTCAATGGGAAAAAAAAAAAAAAAGCAGAAGGACTAAGGCTTTCTTATCTGGCCTCAATATAGAATTGAGTTGAGATAGCTGAAAATGTGAAAGCAGGAGGAATTTGTTTTTTAGTGCTGGAAGTTGAACCCAGGCCTCATCAGTGCTAAGCACACTCTACCACTGAATTAAATTACACCCCGAGTCCCAAAATATCTAAAAAAAAAAAATCTGTGCAAGTAAGGGCTGGGGGTTGTGACTCGGTGGTAGATCCCTTGCCTAGCACATGTGAGGTACTGGGTTCAATCCTCAGCACCACATAAAAAATAAATAAATAAAGGTATTGTGTCCATCTATAACTAAAAAAAAATTGTGCAAGTTTATCTTTGGAAAATGGTTAAGACTTATTGGTTGCTTTAGGTAGCTTTTCATAGAGGTATGAAAGTGTATAGTCCCTGCTTTTTTAAATTATTACTATTCCTTTTCCATTCCTTCTCCCACCTTATACACCTTAATATTTGATGTGTTTTTTAAGAAAATAGCAATATGTTCACTTGATACTTTCCTTTACAATAGGTCTGATTATTTTCGCAACTTTGTAGATTCTTGCCTCCAGAAAATCCCTCAAGATCGTCCAACATCAGAGGAACTTTTAAAGGTCAGTTATGTAATGCTATAAATCTGTATTTACCCTTGAGAAATGATAATAAAGAATGTGTTTTATTTTTCTTTGATTTTGAAGCTGGATTAAGTATATTATACTAGTTTGTATTGAAAAAAAATTTTTTTTTGACAGTGTTTGGGATTAAATCCAAGGCCTCATGCATGCTAGGCAAGCACTCTACCACTGGAGATGAACCCCAACCCATAATATACTAAATTTTTATATTGTTTTCTCTGGATTTTTTTTTTTTTTTTTAATAGTCTGGGGAATGAAACCCAGAAACCCAGAGCCTCCCTCTGGTACTGGGGATGGAACCTAGGGGCCTTGCACATGGTAGGCAAGCACCCTACCGCTGAGCAGCAGCATCCCCAGCTCTTTTTAGTTTTTAGTTTGAGATAGGGTCTTGCTAAGTTGCTCAGGCCAGTCTCCAACTCAGAATCTTTTTGCCTCAGCCTCCTAGGTAACCGGGATTATAGGCATGTACTGTCATGCCTAGCTCTAACCCATGTAAATATTAATGAATGTGGAGCAAAATCTTGTTTCAAATTGGTAAAACAGAATAATTTTAGATCTAATTTTTTATCTACCATACTTTATATGTTGATCTGTCCCATATTAATATATAAAAATAAGTATGCTATGATATATTTAGGTAAATACTACAAGAAAAAAGAAACTGTTAAAAATGGATGCAATATTTTTGTTCCTGCTGGGATGTTTGTGCATACCTGTAGTTCAGCTATTCCAGATTCTGAGGCCAGTTGACCATTTGAGTCTCAGTTCAAGTCAGACTGGACAACATATAGTGAGACCCTGTGGCCCAGCGGTAGAATGCTAGCAATTGCAGAAAGGTCAATCTTAAAAATATAAAATTTAACACTTGATATTTTTGGTCTCAAAGAAAGAAAAGCCAAAATATTTTTTTTTATGGAATTTTGTTGTTCTCACTTAGCAATGAATATATTTTTAAAAATATTTTTTAGTTGTAGATTGACACAATACCTTTATTTTATTTATTTATTTTTATGTGGTGCTTAGGATCAAACCCAATGCCTTACATATACTAGGTAAGTGCTCTACCATGGAGCTACAATCCCAGCCCAGCAATGAATATATTTTTAAAATTAAGACTTATGAGTTTTTAACAGGCTTGGTTGCCTAATTTAAATATGTCATTCATATGCTTTTTGGTCTCAAAAATTACTGCATTATTAATACCAATAATGGTAATGTTGAATTTAATATGATTCTTTTTTTAAAAAAAAGAATATTTTTTTTAAGAGAAAGAGAGAGAATTTTTTTCTTAATATTTATTTGTTTATTTTTAGTTTTTGGCAGACACAACATTTTTGTTTGTATGTGGTGCTGAGGATCGAACCCGGGCCGCACGCATGCCAGGCGAGCGCGCTACCGCTTGAGCCACATCCCCAGCCCTAATATGATTCTTAAAACATCTATATTAGGCAATATATTAGATCACTCTTTGTGACCTAAGGAATCTATTTGATTTTTCACAAGATTTAAATAAGCTAATTTTATATCAGTGTTTCAGAAATTCTAAGAATTCAATTTATTCTCACTGATATACATCACCTAATTTAAAGCTACAAAGAAACTTGAAAGATCATATATAGCTGGCTCAATGGTAAGGCACTTGCCTGGCATGCATTAAGTCCTGGGTTCAGTCGCTAGCAATGCAAATAAATAGATAGATAGATTGATTGATTGATTGATTATATGTTTGGTAATATTTGTAGCCACAGTATATAAAAGAACAGTATAAAAATTTCAGCAATACTTGAGGAATTCCATGCCATGAGCTTACTCATGGTCTTGGAAATGAAATCCTGAATAAATAGGTACTCAAGAATATCAACAAAAACTAAAATATCTAGCAATAATGTTAGTAAAACGTAAGACAAGGTTGAGAATATAACTCAGTGATGGAGTACATCATAGCATATGCAAGGCCCTAGGTTTAATCCCCAGTACCACCAAAGAAAAGAAAGAGTGGGCAGAGGTTGTGGCTCAGTGGTAGAGCGCTTGCCTACACGTTGATGTGTGAGGCACTGGGTTCGATCCTCACCAACACATGAATGAATAAATAAGTAAAATAAAATAAAGTTATTTAAAAAAAAAAGAAAAGTACAATCTATGTACTTTAAAAAAAAAATCAGGGCTGGAGTTGTGGCTCAGTGGTAGAATGCTGCTTGCAATTGCAAAAAGGTCAAACTTAAAAATATAAAATTTAACACTTGATATTTTTGTTCAGGTCTGTGGTGCATGCCCATAATCCCAATGACTCAGGAGGCTGAGTCGAGGGCTTTGATTTGACAGTTCTTATTGTTTGTACCCTTTGATAATTTCAACTCTATTTTTCAATTGACCAACAAAAAATTATGTTCTAGGGTTTTATAAAACATACAAGATTATGGAGTAGAGGGATACAGAAGAATGAAGGAACTTTGGTTTGTGTAGAAGGGAGTCAGGGAGGGATGGCATTGTGGGGATGGGAAGGACAATAGAAAGAGTCAAGACATTATTACCCTATTATATGATTACTCTAGTGGAGTGACTCTGAACCATGTACAGCCAGAGGAATGAAAAGTTGTGCTCCGTTTGTGTACTAAATGTCAAAATGTATTCTACTGTAAAATAAATAAATAAATAAATTGAAACATACAAGATTGGTAATGTAGGTACAGAGTATATGTATGGAAGTGATTATTTTGTAAATATCAGATTGTAATAGTATAGATTATGTATCATGTATCATAGAATGGTAACTCTAAAGTATGAGAAGGGGTAAATTTGCACCAATTGAAAAGTTAAGTATCAACCTGACTTTTACCTTCTACCCTATTTAGCACATGTTTGTTCTTCGAGAGCGCCCTGAAACAGTGTTAATAGATCTTATTCAGAGGACAAAGGATGCAGTAAGAGAGCTGGACAATCTGCAGTATCGAAAAATGAAGAAACTTCTTTTCCAGGAGGCACATAATGGACCAACAGTGGAAGCACAGGAAGAAGAAGAGGTAATACTTACATTGACTAAAATCTTGAATTCTCTTTATTGGTTTTTTTCTTTATGCACTTTGCCTTGCCAAGAATTTACCTTTTCTAATGGTTCCCAAGTCATTTTCTTAGCATTAATTATATAATATTCCATTTAGGAAAAAGGGTTTTAGATTGCATGCTCAAAGCCCAACCCCTTTAATGTTAAGTGCACATTGGTATGGTAAAGGCTTTTGAAAGTCTTTTATTAGAAAAAAAACTGTTCAACTTTATTTAGTCTAGTTCCTCTCATATTTCTTGGCCACTGAACCCTTGTTTGACTTATCATTCAGTTCCGTGGGACATGCTTTTAGAAGTACTTGAAATTATAGTGTCTTAGAGTTGACTGTTCTCCCTCAGAAGTTATTAAAAAGTTAACAGGCCTTTGACTGTGACAAAGGAAACCTGATTCCTTTTAGTTCTGCATAATTTTATTCCATTTCTATGGCTCTAAAATATTCATTTTACAGATGAGGAAAGTAAGGCTTAGAGTATTTAACTTACTATAGGTGGGAGGCATGTGGATTTATATTTATAGTTTTCAAATATACCCCATCCCAGTTCTGACTCTTTGGTTATTTTCTGTTGCTTTTTAATGAGAGAGATCACTTTGTATTCTGAAACCATGAGCAATGCTTTTTTTTTTTTTTTTTCCATTTTAGTAGCACTAAATAACTAATAAGCTATAAAATATTAGATCTCTTATATTTTACTACAAAATCAATACAGATTTTATGCCAATTTTTTTAACCAAAAAATGTGGAATGTGGTCATTATTGAAGCCTTTTAAAACACACATACGCACACACACACACATACACATATCATGCCAGTATTACTTATAAATAATTTATTACTAAACTGGTTCAAGATTAAGAGGCATGAAATACTCAGGAATATACATTAATTCAGTAGTGGCAATTGTGTGGCAAAATAACAGTAATTTTTTGTGGGGGCTTTTTGTTTATGTTTTAGTTCTTACCATAATCAGAAAATCATTTTTACTGTTTTAGAAATATGAAATACTTTAATAAAGTTGTGAAATTAATAAAATTCTATGTAGTTAATTTTTTTTTTTTTTTTTTTTTTTACCAGAATGAAACCCAGGGGTGCTTAATCACTGAGCCACATCCTAGTCCTTTTTAATTTTGAGACAAGATCTCACTAAGTTGCTTATTAGGGTCTTGCTAAGTTGCTGGGACTGGCTTTGAATTTGGAGTCCTCCTGCCTCAGCCTCCTGAATTGCTAGGATTATAGGCATATGCTACCGTGACCAGCTATGTGGTCAAATCTTTAAAAGCATCTATTCCACTAGGGATCTAAGAAAATTCTATAAATATATACATATATGTACATGCATACATACAATTGTGTGTGCATATGTTGTCTGTATTCATTAAATTCTAGCATATCTTATAAAAGTTTGGTACTACAGACTATAGTAATATTAGTGTCCTAACCCCATGGCTATTTGATTACTTTGTGATTGTGACCGAATTATAAATTATATATTTATAAATATCAAATATATTTATATATTTAACTTGAAATTCTTAGTTTATATGGGAATATGTAGGAATTAATATTATTTGGTGATAGATAATCTTTCAGGAAGAAAGAACAGCATCCTTTATAAAAGTCCTCAGTAAAAAATAAGAAAAAGGGGCTGGGGTTGTGGCTCAGTGGAGAGCACTTGCCTAGCATGTGTGAGGCACTGGGTTCGATTCTCAGCACTGCATATAAATAAATAAAATAAAGGTATTGTTACAACTAAATATTTTTAAAAAGCATTTACAGGATTTTATTCATTCATTCATTTATTCATTCATTTTGGCGGGCTGGGAATTGAACTCAGGGACTCACACGTGCCAGGCAAATTATACATTGAATCTCATATTCAAGCTCCCCAGGACTTTTTTTTTTTTAAAGGAAATATTTAGATTGACCACAAGAGTTATTGAGAAGTGAGCGAAATATCTATCCTCATGACATTTGTTATAGAAATGTTTTTCAAAAAATGCCAGACAATTAAGAGAAAATTTTGTACATCTGAAATCACCTAAAACTGGACTGCATGCACATAGCACTGAGTCTGATCCCCAGAACTGGGAAAAAAAAAAAAGAAGAAGAAAGGAAATAATTCAGAACTGGTCAACTGGCTTTTTCCCCCCTCAACAGTTCAGGGGTTTTGTTATTTATTTGTAGGTCAGTTTTACTTTTCTATTAACAGTTGATAAGCCTTCCTGGTCTTGGCAGATATAGGGAATTTTTTACAGTAGACCTAACTTTCTTTTTATTGTACTGGGGCTCGAATCCAGGATGCTTTACCACTGAGCTATACGCCCAGTTCTTTTTATTTTTTATTTTGAGCCAAGGGGCTCACCAAGTTGCTCAGAGTCTCCCTAAATTGCTGAGGATAGCCTCAAATTACTGTGATCCTCCTGCCTCAGCCGCCCAAATCACTGCTGTTACAGGCATGTACCACTATACCTGATTTCTAATTTTATTTCTAATAACTGTGTGCCAAGTGGAATCTGTGCTGGATGCTTTAATTAAGAATTCAGAAGAGATGCAGATGTTTTAATCTAATGCTCTTTTTCCTTAGGAACAAGATCATGGTGTTGGCCGGACTGGAACAGTCAATAGTGTTGGAAGTAATCAGTCTATTCCCAGTATGTCTATCAGTGCCAGCAGCCAAAGCAGTAGTGTTAATAGTCTTCCAGATGCCTCAGATGATAAAAGTGAACTAGACATGATGGAGGGAGACCATACGGTGATGTCCAACAGTTCTGTCATCCATTTAAAACCTGTGAGTATTTGGATTTCAGTGAAAAATTTCAACATTAGTGAATAATTTTTATCTGATTAGTTTAAGTAAAGGAAGTTTTCTTTTAAGTTTCAAAAGAATGAAACATATTTTAAAATAGCAGTAGTCTTGTTAATTCCTAATCTGTTAACTGCATTTAGAAAACTAAATGTTTTGAGAATATAAGAAGAATTTTTCACAGAACCAAAAAAATCTTAGAAGAAAAAATATAAAATATTATGTACTATATTATTTGAAGTTCTTACATGGAAAATAAAAATTAAAGAATAGGAAAGATGTGCATGAAATTTATGATAATGATTGCTGTTGAAGAATGAAGGAGAGTTGGAATGAGTGAAAATCAAAAGTGACTTTTACATTTTTCATAATTGTATCTTTAAAATAAGACTAATTGTAGAAAATTATAAATTTAGGGTTTAGGAAATGTAGGTGCAGCCTTATTGCCTTATTCTTTGTAATTCTTTTTTTTTTGTGGGGGTGGATACTAAGGATGGAACTTGGGGACACTTGACCACTGAGCCACATTTCTAGCCCTATTTTGTATTTTATTTAGAGACAGGGTCTCACTGAGTTACTTAGCACCTTGCTTTTGCTGAGGCTGGCTTTGAACTTGTGATCCTCCTGCCTCCGCCTCCCAAGCAGTTGGGATTACAGGCATTGCAATTCTTTGCAATTTTGAGTGTAAGTTTTTAAATTTTCTCAAAAATTTTGGAAAAGTCAGATTATTCTTCTTAGCAACTTGTAGGACTGTTTTCTTTTTTACTTCATGTCTTACAGTATTTTAAAAGTTATGGGGCTGGGATTGTGGCTCAGTGGTAGAGTGCTCGCCTAGCACATGCAAGGCCCTGGGTTTCATCCTCAGCACCACATAAAAATAAAATAAGCATATTGTGTCCAACTACAACTAAAAAATAAATATTTACAATAAAAATAAAAGTTATTAGGTACAGTGCCAAAAGGAAAAAACCAAATGTCCATCAACAGATGAATGAATAAACAAATTGTGCTGTACAGAATATTATTCGTTTAGAAAAAAATGAAATTCTGAAACATGCTACTCTGTGGATAAATGTCAACATCATGCCAAAGGCTGGGCATGGTGGCGCATGTCCGTAGTCCTGCCTGGCTCAGGAGGCCAAAGCAGGAGGATTGCAAGTTCAAACTCATCCTCAGCAACTTATTGAAGCCCCAAGCAACTTACTGAGACCCTCTCTCAAAATCAAAAAAATAAAAGCACCTGAGTATAGCTCTTAACTGATTTCTTCAGTGGTTAAGTGTCCCTGGGTTCAATCCTCAGTACCCATCCCATCCTGCCCCCTGAAAAAAGAGAAAAAAAAATATGCTTAGGGACATAAGCCAGACAGAAAAGGACAAATACTATATAATTAAACTTGAATGAAATACATGTCTATAATAGGCAAATTCATGGGGATATTTAGAGGTTACCATGGGATGAATGGAAGGTGAAATGCAAGCTGTTGCTAATGGATGGAGTCTCTGTTTGGGGTGGTGAAAAAGTTTTGGAAATAGTGGTGATGGGTACACAACATGAAAATGTAGTTAATCTGGGTTAAAAAGGCAAGTTTTTTGTTAGACATTTTTTAACACATACATGAAAGCTACTAAGAATGATGGTTATGCAGTAGTAGTATTCAGGGAAACTTCCATTTAATTTTCATATTCGTAGGCAATGGAATCAATCATAAGATTATTTCTGTAAGTAGATGGTTGTTACTTAACTGACTTCTTCAGTTAATGAATGGAAGTTTATAAGGAACAGTATCAGTTCTTTAATATTTAAAACCATTTTTTAATTGCTTGTTTTGTACAGAAGGCAAAAATATTTGTACAGAAGGCAAAGGTAGTTTTAAGCTGTATTGCTTCTAAAATCCAAAAGCCTTTATGTCATTAATTTTTATTACTATTAAAGTATTAGCTACATGTTTCATTATGTTTGTTTTTAAGTGACATTAAAACTTTTCAGTTTTACTTGTAATATGTAGGTTATAAGCCAACCATGTACATTTCCTTATCCTAATCTGTTTTTTTTTTTTGGTACGAGGGATTTAACTCAGGATCACTCAGCCACTGAGCCACATCCCCACCCCTGTTTTGTATTTTATTTAGAGACAGAGTCTCACTGAATTGCTTAGCCCCTCACCATTGCTGAGGCTGGCTTTGAACTTGCAATCATGTTGTTTCAGCCTCTTGAGCTACTGGGATTACAGGTGGGCGCCACCACGCTCTGTTCATTATCCTGAATCTGTATATTACTTCATACACTGTGGAAACAATTTCTCCTAATTCTAGTTGTGTTAAAGATAAAATGACAGCATTCTCATTTAATTTTTTTTAACCTTTATTTTATTTATTCATTTTATGTGGTGCTGAGGAATGAACCCAGCACCTTGCACATTCTAGGCGAGTACTCTACCACTGAGCCACAACCACAACCCATCATTTTCTTAAAATAGATTTTTTAGTTGTTGATGGGCCTTTATTTAATTAATTTATTTATATGTAGTACCTCACATATGATCGCCACTGAGCCACAACTCCAGCCCTTATTTTTTTGTTTTTGATTTCTAAAATTATTATTAGATTTATTGATCTAGTTGACTTTGAACTTTAATTTTCTTGAAGTTTCAAACAGTTTGTGTAGCTTACATGATATTGTCTCTTTCTTTGCTTAGGAAGAAGAAAATTACAGAGAAGAAGGAGATCCTAGAACAAGAGTATCAGATCCACAATCTCCTCCCCAAGTATCTCGCCACAAATCACATTATCGTAATCGAGAACACTTTGCAACCATAAGGACGGCATCACTGGTATGTACTTCCCCAGGCCCAGATGGAAATATAGTTTTTCATGTTGAACTTTGGACCCAAATATAAATATATCTTATTTTTTGTACTGGAGTTTGTTTTTCAAAACTTTCATTCAACATTTAAATGCCTGTTATGAGAAGAATGTGTAAAGCACACTGAAACATGGTAAACTAACAGTGTCTTCAAGACATGCCCACAAATAAGTAATCTTTTGAATATATCAAATACTTAACATAATTACAAAGTACTAAATAGTTATTCAGATAACTTTTTATTAGTAACATAAAAGAAGCATTTATCAAACAAACTGTTGGAGCATTTAGAATTATTAGGTTTTTAGGGCTGGGGTGGTGGCTCAATGGTAGAGCGCTTGCCTGGCATGCGTGAGGCTCTGAGTTCGATCCTCTACACCACATAAAAATAAATAAACAAAATAAAGGTATTGTGTACAACTAAAAAATAAATATTTTTAAAAAAAGAAGGATTAGGTTTTACATACAGGGAGAGGAGAAATGGTATTTCCATGTAAGAATTGACAATAAGGTAACATGAGGGTAACCACTAAAAAGGTAATGTTTGGAAATTGCAAATAATCCTATTTGGTATGCTGTAATCCTAATTTCCCAAATAACAATAAATATAGATTTATTTGTTCATTACAAACATGTTATAGTGGGGCATTTAAAACTCTGTTCAGTTAGACACGTGGGACTAAGAACATAATAAAGGATGCTAGGAATTGAAAGAAATTACATTAATATATCATGTGAAAAGTAGGTTATTAGAGAATAAGACAGGGAAAAAAAGTTATTTGAGTCATCTAAATTGCTACATAGTAAGCAGAATTACTGTATAATCAGATTTTATAAATCCTATGCCCATGAATCTGTATGGCATGTGGAGTCAGAAATGCAGTACCCCCTCCACATACATGCACTGTTATTCTGCAACATGAAAATAATGCTTTAAACAGAGCAAATGGCAGGGATTATTTATTTATTTGTTTGTTTATTTATTGATGTCTCTTGGTAGATGTATAAAGCAGGTTGAGATCTGGGGAAAATCTCTTTGTGACATGGCATGTATTAAATGTTCTCAGGCAAGTCTGTATCTCAAATGTTGGCTTCCTCAAATTAATAAATAACATTTATAGATTTAACAAATCAAAAACCTGAAAAAGAGTTTTATATATTTGGCAGAGGGGAGTACCAGGGATCACTTAACCACTGAACCATACCTTCAGGGTCCCCTCCTTTTAATTTTTATTTTAATTTTTTAGTTGTTGATAGCCTTTCCTTCCTTCCTTCCTTCCTTCCTTCCTTCCCTCCTTCCCTCCTTCCCTCCTTCCTTCCTTATTTTTATATGTGGTGCTGAGAATTGAACCCAGTGCCTCACACATGCTAGGCAAGTGCGCTACCACTGAGCTACAGCCCCAGCCCCAGCCCTTTTTGCATTTTATTTAGAGACAGAGTCTCACCAGGTTGCTTAGGGCCTCTATAAGTTACTGAGACTGGCTTTGAACTCCTGATCCTCCTGCCTCAGTCTCCTGAGCAGCTGGGATTATAGGCGTGTGCCTCTATGCCTGGCAAGAGTTATATTCTTGAACCTAGTATTTCCACATATTGTAAATAAAATATTCAGAGAGTATGTAGCTTTTTGCACAAATAAACATTGCTGTGTTATATTTTATGAGTACTTTGCCTTCTTTTGTTTTGAATTTTTCTTCATATAATAAAATGTACAGATCTTACGTAGTCAATTTGAGGAATATTTAAATTGATATACACCTAAGTTAACCATTACATAAAACAAGAGATGTCAAATTTCCTTCATCTTACAAAGTTATTTTTATACTCCTTTTTAGTTAATTTCTCATTTCCGTGAGTATCACCTTTTGTTTCATAATATGTTTTGAATGTTTGGGATTTTATATGAGTGGAATAACATAGAATAATGAATGCATGTTATTGAATAACATGTTATTGTGTTCAACAATGTTAATTTTTTTCTCTAGAAAACCTTTTCATTGTGTGAATATACCACCATTTAAAAAAATATTTTTATTAGTTATTGATGGATCCTTATTTATTTATTTGCTTATATGTGGTGCTGAGACTCATACATGCTAGTCAATTGCTCTACCACTGAGCCACAAACCCAGCCCCCTACCACCATTTGTTTATCTATTCTTTTCTTGATAAACTTTTAGTTTGTTTCTGTTTTGGAACTGTTATACATAAGATTGCTGTAAACATTTGTGACCAAGCCATGATGTGAACGTGATCTCTTTTTTTAAATTATAAGTTTTGGTGGTACCGGGGATTGAATCCTTTTTATTTTTTTATTTTGAGACCTCACTAAATTGTCCAAGCTGGCCTCGAATGTGGTTTTCTGCTTCAGAAATACAGGTGTGTGCCACCATGCCCAGCTGGTCTTTTAATTTCGTTTGAGTAAATACCTAAGGGTAGAATTGTCAAGTTCTAGGGTATATGTTTCTTTAATTTTATAAGAAACTTTGTCAGTTTTCAAAAGTGACTGTAGCATTTCACATGCCAATTAGCAATGTATAAGCATTCTAGTTGGAGTCTGAGGCAGTAAGATCACATTTGAAGCCAGCCTGGGCAACTTAGTGAGTTGTCTCAAAATAAGATAAAATGGGCTGGAAATATAATTCAGTAGTAGAGTGCTTCCTTAGCATGCTTAAGGTCCTATGTTCAATCCCCAGTACCACCAAAAAAATAAACAAAACAAAAACCAAATCACTGAAAACATCTGGTAAATTAAATACAAGTGTTGGTGAAGATGCAGAGAAAAGGGAACTCTTGTACATTATTGATGGGAATGTAAAACAGTTTAGGAGTTCCTCAAAAAAATTTAACAGTAAGTGAGTGGCAGGAATGATAGCTTGTTCCTGTACTTCCAGAGACTCTGGAGGCTGTGGCAGGAGGATCACAACTTCAAGGCTAGCTTCAGCAACTTAGTGAGACCCTATCTCAAACTAAAACGTGCTAGGTATGTGATTCAGTAGTTCAGTGCCCCTGGGTTCAATCCCCAGTTAAAAAAAAAAAAAAGAAACAGAAAGAAAGAAAACTAACAATAGAGCCAGGCATGGTGGCACACACCTGCAATCAGAGCTTTTTGGAGGCTGAGGCAGAAGGATACCAAATTCAGGTCCAGCCTGGGCAACTTGGTGAGACCCTGTGTCAAAAAATAAAGTAGTAAAAAGTGCTAGGGATTTAGCTTAGTAATAGAGCACTTTGGGTTCAATACCCAATACCACCAAAATTAAATATATAAAAAACTAACAATAAGAACTACCATATGATCCAGTACTCCCATTCCTGAGCACATAACCGGAGGAACTGAAATTAGTATGCCAAAGGAATATCTATACCCTTGAGTATATTGTAGTATTCACAAAAACCAAGATGTGGAATCACCCTAAGTATCTATCAATGTCTATCAATGAATAAAGAATGTGTTCTGGGGGCTGGGGAGGACGGATCATCATTTACAACAACATAGATAAATCTAGAATATGCTATGCTAAGTGAAACAGTCCCACTTACATGTAGAATCCAAAAAGGTTGAAGTCATAAAAGGGGCTAGGTAGGGGTGAGAGGGAGGGAATATGTAGAGTTGTTTGTGAAAGCACACACAGATTCAGATAGACAGGAAGACTAAGTTTTGAGATCTGTTGCACAACAGGGTGACTATAGTCAATAATGATATATTGTATGACTAAATTTCAAATGTCTCACTATGAAAAATGATTGGTAAATGAAGTGATGAATATGTTAATTAGCTTGATTTAATCATTCTATATTGTATATCTATGTCAAAACATCACATTGTACTCCATAAATGTGTACAATTATAATGTCAGTCAAACATAATTTTATAGGCTAGGAGTATAGTTTGGTGGTAAAACAAACCCTTAGATTGTAATAAAGCCATGGGGTTGATTCCCAGCGCTGCCAAAAAATAATACTAACCTTTATAAAAAACTGAAAACAGACAAGTTCATGTACATACATATTCATAGAGGCACTGTTCACAATAGCCAAAAGGAAAGGGTCAAATGTGTGTCAGTGGGTGAAAAACTAATTATGATATATTTACAATGAAATATTTTTCTGCTATAAGAAGAAATGAGGTAATGATACATTCAACAACATAAATGAACCTCAAAAACACAATGAAATATATTTAGACATGTATCACTTTCTTTATTTTTTTTTTTAATGTGGTGCTGAGGATCAAACCCAGTGCCTCACACATGTGAGGCAAATGCTGTACCACTGAGCCACAACCAAGCCTTACATCACATTCTTTTATACATACATACATATATATATATATATATATATATATATATATATTTTTTTTTTTTTTTTTTTTTTAGAGAAATAATTTTAATATTTATTTTTTAGTTTTCGGTAGACACAACATCTTTGCTTGTATGCAGTGTTGAGGATCGAACCCAGGCCGCACACATGTCAGGCGAGCGCGCTACCGCTTGAGCCACATCCCCAGCGCATATCACATTCTTTAGTGAAATATTGAGAATAGGTAACATTGTTGAAACAGAAAGCAAATTGTTGGTTAGGTTGCTAAGCAGAAGAATGAGAAGTGCATGCCAGGTGTGGTGGTGCACACCTCTAATCCCAGCAGCTCAAGAGGCTGAGGCAGGAAGATTGCAAGTTCAAAGCCAGTCTCAGCAACTTGGCAGAGACCCTGTCTTAAAAGAATTAATAAAAAAGGTCTGGGGATGTGGCTCAGTGGTTAAATGCCCTGGGTTCAATCCCTGGTACCAAAAAAAAAAAAAAAAGTGAAGGAACTGTGAGTAGAATTTTCTTCTCAGGTGATACATGTTTTCTAAATAGATAAAGCGCATGTATTTAAAAAAAACACAGTGAATGGATTAAGTGTCACTGAATCTTTCAATGTAAAATGATTAATTTTAGGTTCTATGAACTTTATCTTAATTTAAAAATCGTATTTATATATTTTTTCTTTGTGATCATTGGTGTTTACATCCTGCCCAAGAAACGTGCTTACTTTCAGGGTCATGAAGGTATTTTATGATTTCTTCTGCTTTATTATTATAGATTTTGTAGTTAGATAAGAAATCATCTCAAAAATAAGAAAGAAAGATGTCATCCTCTTCACATTCGTTTTTATACATTAAGTGAGAGATGTGAGAGTTCACAGTTTTTTTTTTGTTTTTTTTTTTCTGTGTAAAGAAGCACTTCTTTTAGGGGCTGAGATTGTGGCTCAGTGGTGAAGCGCTTGTCTAGCACATACGAGGCCCTGGGTTCAATGCTCAGCACCACATAAAAATAAATAAATAAAGGTATTGTTTCCAACCATTTCCAATAAATAAAAAAATGTTTAAAAAAGACAAAAAAAAAGAAGAAGAAGCAGCAGCAGCAGCACTTCTTTTAGCAGGATTTGTTAAAAGTGCTTTTTTTTTCCCTCTGAATTAACTTGAGTTTTTGGTAGAAAAATGTGTGGTCTGTTTCTAGATTTTTTGTTGTTGTCCTTGTTGAAAGGGAGTATTGTATGTTGCTAGTACCAGTGTCTTGATCATGGTGCTCTCATCCTTCTGCTTTGTTTTTTCTAAAGATTATTTTGGCATTGTAGGTCTTTTACATTCCCACATAAATTTTAGAACCTGTTTGTCTGTTTCTTTAAAAGACCTGCTGGAAATTTAATTGGAAACTGCAACATTGGGATCTCTTAAATTAATTACCTAGTTAATTAATAGTAGGATGGTCTAAATGCTTTTGAAAGAAAATGTTTTGCTTTCTTTTCTTTTTTCTCCATTGTTTGTATGTCTAGGTTACAAGGCAAATGCAAGAACATGAGCAGGATTCTGAGCTTAGAGAACAGATGTCTGGCTATAAGCGAATGAGACGGCAGCACCAAAAGCAACTGATGACTCTGGAAAATAAGCTAAAGGCTGAGATGGATGAACACCGCCTAAGATTAGACAAAGATCTTGAAACTCAGCGTAATAATTTTGCTGCAGAAATGGAGAAACTTATCAAGAAACATCAAGCTGCTATGGAAAAAGAGGTAGGTGGCTATTGAAGTATTATTAGTTTATTTTAATTTTAGCTTTTGTCTATCTCATAATTAACTGATATAGCATTTTAATATTGGGGTATAAACTGTTTTGTGAATTGATGATAGATCAGTCACCAAAAAAGATGGTTCATGTGTGTTTTTCTAATTTTGTGACTTAATATATGCATTTTGAGTATGAAAAATATTATGATATATTTTAATACAAGTACTAGATCTGGGAAATAATAGGCATGGGATCATTTCCTGATACTTGATAGCTTTATAGTATCCCATTGGATAAGTCATTCAACCATTTTAGTCTTTTGATACCCTGCTTATCTGAGGACTTTGGTAAATCTTATCAATAGTTGATTTAGCTCTCAAAAAATTATTCATGAGTCTCTACTTCTGTGTATTTTTAAGAAACATTTTTAAAATTTTTGTTGCATTCTATGTCAGAATACAAAGAATGTTTGAGATTATATATTGATTCAGATTCGTTTACGAATGAGTTTTCATTACTATATGGTACGGGTATATTTTCAGTATTCTAGTTGCTTTTTCCTGTAGTGTTTTTGGTGTCCAATCAGTTTCATTTTATTTTGCTAGTCACATTTATCAAGTAACATGTAAACTTCTTAGTAAAATCACATAATTTTATCAAAATACGTCCAAGTTGAACATAATGCATTGAAGCATTTTTATCATAGCTGCCCTGTTCTTCCCCACCAAAAAAGAAAAAAAACTCTGACCGTGTAGGGAAATTGGCAAAATAAATTATGGTATAAATAAATATTTGATTTTGAATTTTTTGGGGGGCGGTACTAGGGATTAAACTCAGGGGCATTTGGCCACTGAGCCACATCCCAGCCCTATTTTGTATTTTATTTAGAGACAGGGTCTCACTGAGTTCCTTAGTGCCTTGCTTTTGCTGAGTCTGGCTTTGAACTTGCAATCCTTCTGTCTCAGACTCCCAAGCATATGGGATTACAGGCGTGTGCCACCGCACCCAGCTTGACATTTTTTTTTTTGTTTTACTATTTTTTTAGTTGTCAATGAACCATTATTTTGTTTATTGATATCTGGTGCTGAGAATCACGCATGCTAGGCAAGTGCTCTGCCACTGAGCCACAACCCCAGCCCTTGAAATTTTTAATAAAAAAATTATAGATATTTTGAATACGGATAGGTGATGGGCAGTACTTTTAATAGCTTGTGAAGAGGTAGATGCTGACATATTAGAAAAGCAATTCATGAAACAGGATGTATAATGTGATTAAAATTTGTTTTAAATTTTTTGTCCTAGGGCTGGGGTTATGGCTCAGTGGTAGAGTGCTTGCCTAACACATGTGGGTCACTGGGTTCAATCCTTAGGATCACATAACAGTAAATAAATAAAATAAAGGTGTTCTGTTCATCTGCAACTAAAAAGTATTAAATTTTTTTTGTTGTTGTTCTAGGAAAAAATTAAAACATGTATGTACCAAAATGCTTACATTGGTTTATATTTGGGTGCTAAAACATGAGTTTTTTTTTCTTTTTTCTTCTGTATTTCTAAAATGTTCTATAATTAATATGTATTACATATATACTAAAAAATGAAATAGTTTATAGGCCAGATATAGTGGTGCTCACCTGTAATCTCAGCAGCTAAGGCTGAGGCAGCGGGATCACAAGTTTAAAGCCAGCCTCATCAATTTAGACCCTATCACAAAATTTAAAAAGGGCTGGGGGTGTGGCTCAGTAGTTAAGTGCCCCTGGGTTCAATCCCTGGTGCCCCACCCCCACAAAAAAGAGTTGCAAAAATAAAATAGTATGATATCTAGTATTTAACATTTTTATAGTATTTAATATACAAAATAAAGATCAATATTTAGCTAGGCACAGTGGCACATTCCTGTAATCCTAGAGACTCGGGATTGAGGAAAACATTTGTTTGTTTTGTTTTATTGAAGGGAGGATGTATTCCTGTTAAATGAAACCATTTTAGCCCAATAAGAGATTGATATTTCATTTATTTATTGCAGTGCTGGTGATCTAACTTGGGGCCTTGCCAAGCGTGCTAGGCAAGTACTCTACCAATGAGTTACATCATTGGTCTATCCCAGTATTTTAAAATGAATTCCAAATTAGTGATTCTTTGAAGTTTAAATGATAAGGATGCTGAAAAACACTTTATAATTTGGTCAGGGTTTTTTGTTTTTGTTTTTGTTTTGTACCAAGGATTGGACCCCGGGTGTTTAACCACTCAGCCACATCCCCAGCCCTTTTTAAATTTTTTAAATTTTTGAGACAGTGTCTCACTAAGTTGCTTAAGGCCTCATTAAATTGCTGAGATTGGGTTCAAACTTGTGATCCTTGTGCCTCAGCCTCCCAAGCTCCTGTTGATTACAGGGTGGACCACCAGGCCCACTTGGTTGGGTATTTTATTTTGGTGTTGTTTCTACTGATTTTTGTCCTTAAGAAATAAGTATCTTTAGTGATGTATGTTAAACTGCTGCTTTTAACCTATCTGCTTTAAATCTATCTACTTAACTAATTTGATTCATTTTAAAACTTTCATGTAGGCTAAAGTGATGGCCAATGAGGAGAAAAAATTTCAGCAACATATTCAGGCCCAACAGAAGAAAGAACTGAATAGCTTTTTGGAGTCCCAGAAAAGAGAATATAAACTTCGAAAAGAACAGCTTAAAGAGGTACTTATTTTGTACAAATTTTGTGTCAGTTCCTGCTTATTAATTATATTCAATGGTTCTCACTCATAAAGCGTGTAGGGTAAAATTTTCTTCTGTTGGCTGTGACCATTAAATGTGTATCAGCTTATCCAAAGATATTGATTATAATTCATTACCCTTAACTGCTTGAGTTTTCTGGTTCAAGAGGATCTTAAAAAGAACCTTTCCTGAAAAATGTAAATTATTTCACTTATAATAGCTTTCCTAAGTGCCTATTAATTAACTGACTCATTAGAAATAAAAATACCTGAGAAAAATAAACACTGCAAGATCATATCTTAAGGGGGCTGGGGTGTAGCTCAGTGTGTAGCTCAGTGGTTAAGTGCTTGCCTCACATGTGTGAGGCGCTGGGTTTGATCCTCAGCACATAAAAAAATAAAAATTAGGAAAAAATTTTAAAAAGATCACATCTTAAAATTGGACATTTTAACTACATCCCCAGCCCTTTTAAATTTTTATTTTGCAACGAGTATTGTTAAGTTGCTAAGGGCCTTGCTAAATTGCTGAGGCTGGCCTTGAACTTGGATCCTCCTGCCTCACCCTCCCAGGTCACCTATGATTACAGGCATATACCACCACCATATATGGCATCACTCTCACAAACTGCTCATTTATATGCTTTTTATTTGTATTTATTCAAATATCTTATGAACTAAACTTGTAAAGAATTGATCTCTTTATAGAGATCTTTATAGCCAGGCTTGGGTAGCACATGCCTGTAATCCCAGCAAATTGGGAGCCGGAGTCAGGAGGATCTAAAATTTGAGGCCCTAAGCAACTTAGTGAGATCCTGTCTCAAAATAAATGAATGAGGAGCTTGGGATGTGGCTCAGTGGTAGAGCACTTGCCTAGCATGTGTGAGGCACTGGGTTCAATTCTCAGTACCACATAGAATAAGTGAATAAAATAAAAGTATTGTGTCCATCTATAACTAAAAAAAAAAAATTAAAAAAATAAATAAATTTTAAAAATAAAAGAATGAGAAAATGGCTGGGGATGTAACTCAGTGGTAAAAACTCCCCTGGGTTCAATCTACAGTACCCCCAACACCCCCCAAAAAGTAGTGATTTCTGAAAAGAAAATACAGATTATTTGTCTCTGAAGAATCATACCTAGGAAAGATAGTTGATTTATATTTTATATAATGTTGATACTCTTTAGGATGAAAATATTATTAATTAGCATCCTAGGGTTTTCCTCTTTGAATATATCATTAGGGCTTTTTTCATTTTGCCCATTGTAAATGCATTTTCGTGGTAGTTTTTGAGATGATATTTAAGATGATATAGAAAGCATTTGTTTTGATTTGTTCAGTGGCTACTAATGCTGAAAATGAAGTAAAGTAAATTTCTGTTCTAATCACGGTTTTGCTGATTTTCCATTTACTTTCTAGTTCTTTTATACTAAGTTTATCTATAATTTTGTTGAAAACATAGTATCAAGAATGTAAATTGAGGACTAGGGTTATGGCTCAGTGGCAGAACACTTGCCTAGCATGTGTGAGGCGCTGAGTTCGATTCTCAGTACCACATATCAATAAATAAAATAAAAGTCATTGACAACTAAAAAATATTTTTTAAAAAAAGAATATAAATTGAGATGATATTTTACTTTGTTTTAGCCCTAATTTTAATTCCTATGTAATTTTTTTACCGGAAAACACTGCCTCTGTCTTCTAGGGAAAGCTTTAAGGAAGGATGTGTTTTACTTTATTAACCAATCATTGTGTCCTTTAAAGCTAGGAACCATCAAGATGTAACTGCGTAAAGCTAGAAAGTATGCGGGTTTTCTAGAATACATATATCTTTTTGTTGTTGTTGTTAAATATTTATTTTTTAGTTGTACAGAATACCTTTATTTTATTTATTTATTTATTCTTACGTGGTGCTGAGAATCGAACCCAGGGCCTTGCACATGCTAGGCGAGCGCTCTACTGCTGAGCCACAACCCCAGCCCCACATATATCTTTTTCTTGTCCTGTTTCATAAGTAACTCAAGAAAGAGGAAAATATTACCTGCTTTCTCCAGATCATTACCCTGTCTGATCATTAGAGAGAAAGCTATTAAATACTTCTATTTAAGTTTACCGTATACTAAGTGACGCATTCATACAGCTAATTATGTATCATGAACTGAGTTTTTTTTTTTTTTTTAATGTTGCCAGGAGCTGAATGAAAACCAGAGCACCCCTAAAAAAGAAAAACAAGAGTGGCTTTCAAAGCAGAAGGAGAATATACAACATTTCCAAGCAGAAGAAGAAGCTAACCTTCTTCGACGTCAGAGACAATACCTGGAGCTGGAATGCCGTCGCTTCAAGAGAAGAATGTTACTTGGACGGCATAACTTGGAGCAGGACCTTGTCAGGGAGGTGTGTGTGTGAATGATGTGAAAATAATAATCCTTTATCACCAGACTCTTTCCTGAATATATGCCAGTCACATCCCACTTTCAGAGCCTTTGTACTTATTTTTTTCTGTGCTTGAGTCATTCTTCCCCAGATAATCACAGGACTTATTTTCTCTTTTCTTTGTTTTACTCAAATGTCACCTGCCCAGACTTGCCTTCCCTGATTACCAAATCTTTTTTCCTTTGAACAGTCCTTGTACTTTCCCCTCTTATGCACACACACACATACTTTGGGGGAAATGGAATCTGTTTCCCCTCACTAGAATTGAAGTTGTAAAAAATTTGCAGACTCTGTTCAGTTCTTTATATTATTATCAGTCTGGCCCATAGTAGGCATTCAATAAACAACTTAAATAATATATGAATAAGAGAAGTATTATTTTTAAATATGGGGATTAATTGGTCAATCTTTGCCTCTGATTTGAAATGGATACTATTAATGTTGCCATTTAAGATTTTTTATAATCATTTTAGCTATTAATTGGGCAAATAATGTAGAAACTTATGCCAGTAAAAACAGTTGTCCTCATGATCAGGACCTGTTAACATAAATAAATTTATTTCTGGGAGTGGATTAAAAGCTTCAAATGTAGCATAATTTTGCAGATACTCTAATAATCAAAGCAATGTTAATAAAACGTATCCGTGAGATAAAAGAAAAACTTAAAAAGAGATAATATCTAGTCTTGGTAGTAGCATGGATTATTGGACACTCTTAGTAAGAGTATCAGTTACTACTGCCCTTTTGGAGCATAGTTTAGCAGTAGTATTTCGGTTTTTGTTTTTAGGAGGTTTTGTTTATTTGTTTTTGTGATGCTGGGAATTGAACCCAGGACCTCATGCATGACCAGCAAGCATTCTACAACTGAACCACATCCCTAGCCACTAGCCCTGGCTTTTAAAATACATGTATGTATGCTTTTATCTACTTCTTGAGTTCTTGTCCTCCAAAACAAAAACATGATTATATGATATGTTATATATAGATGTTTATTGAAACAGTTAAAAATCCAAAAATGGAAACAATGTAGTTATCCAGTCATATAGGAATAGTTGTGGGGGGGGAAATGCTGTCACAAAAGCCGGGTGTGGTTAGCTCATGCCTGCAATCCCAGCGGCTCGGGAGGCTAAAGGCAGGAGAATCACAAGTTCAAATCCACCTTCAGTAACTTTGAGGCACTAAACAATTCAGTGAGACCCTGTGTCTAAATTAAAATATAAAATAGGTCTGGGGATGTGGCTCAATGGTTGAGTGCCCCTGAGTTCAATCCCTGTGGGAGACCAACCTTACACGTGACTGAGTCACACATCCCTGGCTGGGTGCTGAGGTGCTCAGTCACAGCGCAAGGGCAAGGGGTTATATTACAAAGGAACAGGTGAGTGTAGCTTCACCCATGGGGCTGTAGCAAGACAGCATGCACGAGACACCACCCACATTTCTGTGACTGAGCACCTCAGCACCCAGCCAGGGAGTGTGACTCAGTCACGTGTAAGATTGGTCTCCCACAAATCCCCAGTACTAAAAAATAAAATGGTATCAACAAAGCAGTATTTGAGCCAGTAATGGCAGCACATACCTGCAATCCCAGCTACTCAGGAGGCCAAGGCAGGAGTTCCAGGGCAGCCTGGACAACTTAGTGATATCCTGTCTCAGAATAAAAAACTAAAATGGCTGGAGTTACAGTTCAGTGTTAAAATGCCTCTGGGTTCAATATCCAGTACCAAAAAAGGTGGGGGCGGGGGGGGGGGCAGTAGCTTTCAGTGAAACTTTTAAAAAGTTTTTAACTACTGATCTTATCTGGAGGTAGATATATATTACACTGGTAAGTGAAAAGAGCAAGTTAAACATGCCTGAAATGTATATTATTGAAAATATATTTTTTAAATAATGAATATGTCACAAATAAAAAGAGAAAAGATGAGAAGCATATGCACCAAACTCTTGGCTTTCTGGGGAGAGGGTTTGCAGGAACTAAGGGAGGGTGAGTATGACTTTTACATAATGTGTATGTGTGCACTGGTTCTTTTTGATCTTAAAAAAAATTTTTGTTTTTAGAATTAACATTTATTGAACACCTTTGCTGGGTAGTATTCTGAGAACTTTTTATTTATGAACTTATTTCTTCCTCACATTAAATTTGTGAAACAAGACTGGGGGCGTGAGGGTTTTGTGTTTTACTATGTTCTTAGCATGCACAGGCCCTAAATTTTACCCCCAGTACCTCCAGAAATAAAAGAAATCACAAAACCCTAATATTTACTATGTAGCTATAATTGAAGCAGAGGTTTAATTGCATCGTTTTTTTTCCCCCCTTAGGATTTTGTTTTTTTCTGTCATTGTACAGCTGTAAATTATACCTTTGTCTTTTGTGTTATGGAATAGGAGTTAAACAAAAGACAGACTCAAAAGGACTTAGAGCATGCCATGTTACTACGACAGCATGAATCTATGCAAGAACTGGAGTTTCGCCACCTCAACACAATTCAGAAGATGCGCTGTGAGTTGATCAGATTGCAGCATCAAACTGAGCTCACTAATCAGCTGGAATATAATAAGCGAAGGGAACGAGAACTAAGGCGAAAGCATGTCATGGAAGTTCGACAACAGCCTAAGAGTTTGAAGGTATCTTTAGTGTAAGCTTCTTGACAAAGGGGGAAAAAAGATAAAAGGCATCCATAGAAGCAGAAAAAAACTAAGACACATGTCTGGTCACTACGAAATTGAGCAGCCTTTTCGCTTTTTAGCATCTTCAGTGGGTTTCAGTGCTTGTCAACTCCAGATATTAGCTTATGTATTTCTCTTCAAAGTACAAACAAATGGCTAAAACTTTCTACTGTGGGAAGTACCAGGAAATAAAAACCAAGATTGTCATTTTAAATATATCCAGTATCCACTGGGTGCCTTGATGCATGCCTGTAATTTCATCAACTAAGGAGGCTGAGACAGGAGAATCACAGACTAAGACCAGCTTTAGCAATGTGGTGAGACCCTGCCTCATAAAAATAATATAAGTAGAAAAGACTGGGGATATAGCTTAGTGGTAAAGTGCCCCTGGGTTCAGTCACTAGTACGAAAGTAAATACATGTACCCAGTGTCCTATGCTCGGATTATATTTCCCATTTGTCAACAGTCTGTTCACTTCTCTCTTTTGTCTCAAGTAATATAGTTTTAGAATATTTATTTGCTCTAAAGGTGATTTATATGAAATATAAAAATAAAGTATTTTTCTTTCTTCCCTTGTCTGTTCAGCTACCTTGTCTATTCCCTTTTACCAAATTTGTGACTTAACGGTTCACAATTCTAAGAAATTTTCAAATTTTGTAACTTGTAATAAACATAGAAAATTGAATCAAATGAATCTTGTGTGTGTGTGTGTGTGTGTGTGTGTGAGAGAGAGAGAGAGAGAGAGAGAGAGAGATACTGGGGATTGTACCCAGGGGCACTTAATCACTAAACCACATCCCCAGACCTTTGTATTTTTTGAGACAGGGTCTCACTAAGTTGTTTAGGGCCTCACTAAGTTGCTGAGGCTGGCTTTGAATTCTCAATCCTCTTTGCTCAGCTTCCCCAAACTGCTGGGATTACTTTAAAACATTCTTATTAATTGAGTTCATAGAATAGCCTGTGATTTAACATGTCTATTAAATTAATTATGGTTTTAAAGCCAGTAGCACCCAGAACTAAACCAAATTCAAAGTTTGTTTGTTTTTTCTAATTATACAATAAATCTGATATGACTAATTTCTTTGGGGCTTGAGTAAAGAATAATTGTTTGACTCTTTCTGTGTCCTGTTGTTAGAGCCTTTTTAATTTCAGAATTTATTAAAACCTAATATATTTTTTTCTTATATGCTACATAACAAATGAAGAGAAAATGTTTCACAGTTATAATCAGACTTTTAAATAGGATACTTCTATTTGATGACAAATGAGCCCAGGGTCTTACTCTAGGTGGCGGGGGTGGGGTGGGGGTGGGGGGTGGGAATCTCCATTTTCCTCTTTATTAAAGTTTATCTCTTCAAAGGTCAATTTGAACAATACATTATAGTTTCTAACACCAAGTCCTGTTTGTGTTTATTTAAGTTCAATGATTGCCTCTTCCAACCTTCTGTAAAACTTTTAAACTAGAGAAGGGGAGACTTCATATCTAGCTCGTATATATGTTGACTAAGATTTGTATGTTGGGAGGGTGTTTCTACGGAATGGGTGGGGTAAATACCTACTGCCTACTCTGCTGTTTCTTCAGTTGCCATCCAGGTGATCCTTTTTTGTCAGTGTTATGAGAGTAGAGATAATGTAATGTTTTTCTTGTTTTCACTTGAATCAAACATTGAGGGATGTAGTTTATTCTTGGTATAAAGCATTAATCTTATTCACATTGAAGTAAAAACTTTTAAGGAGGTTCCCCCCACCTTATTTGGCAGTGGTATGTAATGATTACAATTTTCTTTGCACAACAATAAACAAATTTTTTTAAATGTACTTTTATATTAGTTTTTTAAATATAGTTGTAGGTGGACAGCATGCCTTTATTTTGTTTTTTTAATGTGGTACTGAGGATCAAACCCAGTGCCTCACATATGCTAGGCAAGTCTCTGCCAGTGAGCTATAGCCCCAGCCAGTAAACAAATTTTTTTAGTTGGATGTGGTGGCACATTCCTGTGTTTCCAGCAACTCGGGAGTCTGAGGCAGGAGGGTTGCAAGTTGGAGGCCAGCCTCAACAATTTAGTGAGGTCCTAAGTAACTCTAGAGGCCGTGTCTCTCAAAATAAAAGCCCTGGTGTAGTGGAACACACCTGCTAAGGAGGCTGAGGCAGGAGGACCTCAAGTTCAAAGCCAGCCTCAGCAATGGTAAAGTGCTAAGCAAGTCAGTGAGACCCTCTCTCTAAATAAAATACAAAAACAGGGTTGGGGATATGGCTCAGTAGTCGAATACCCCTGAATTCAACCCCTGGTATGCCAAAATAAAAATAAAAAGGTAAATAAAAACAAGCTAGGATTGTGGCTCAGTGGTTAAGCATGCCTGGGTTAAATCCCCAATACGCACCTCCAAAAACAAGAGTAGACCATTACTAAGTATCTTTCTACTTAATTTATTCTCTTAAGATATCTAAAAGATAATTATAATAACATTATTAATATTAACCAGCTACTAATACAAACTTCTAGTCATCCTCAGGTTTGGTACATAGAATGGACAAAGGAAGTATGGTCTATTATAGACTGTGTAGTTAGAGTTGAGATTGACATTAAAAGAAATTGGAGGAAAGGTATTTTAGATAAAAAACAAAATAAAGGGCTGGGGCTGTAGTTCAGTGGCAGAGTACTTGCCTAGAATGTATGAGGCACTAGATCTGATCCTTAGCACCACATAAAAATAAACACATAAAATAAAAGCATTTTGTCTGTCTACAACTACCAAAAAAATAAAATAAAATAAAAAAAAACCCAACAGAATAAATATGCTTTATTTTCTGTCTCAGATATCTGATGAAAATTTGACTTGCTAATAAAGTGCTTTTATTACTCTTAATTCTTAAGAAATTTAGTTTTTGATTGTTTTATGTTTTGATTATGTTTTATTATGATTATACATAGTTTTTAAGTAATTTTATATTTACTCCTATCACTAAATTTACTAGTGAAATAATGAGTATTGCTTGAAGTCCTGTGATAAAATATTTGTTGTTGTTGTGAAAATGCATAGAATCCAATAGTTTGGCCAAACAGCCAAATGCAAAAAGTACCTGCAACCTTAGCATCTGACCTTTTTGGTTTTCCTCTTACTAGACTTTATTTGAGTATGCACAAGATATACCAAATGCAGTATGTTAAAACTTACATACATCCATCTTTTTTCTTCCCAGTCTAAAGAACTCCAAATAAAAAAGCAGTTTCAGGATACCTGCAAAATCCAAACCAGACAGTACAAAGCATTAAGAAATCACCTACTGGAGACTACACCAAAGAGTGAGCATAAAGCTGTTCTGAAAAGGCTCAAGGAGGAGCAGACCCGCAAGTTAGCCATCTTGGCTGAACAGTATGATCACAGCATTAATGAAATGCTCTCCACACAGGCTGTGAGTTTGCTTTATTTAGGCAAAACAAATTTAGTGCCTCTTTCCTTCTACCACTAAAGAAAATCCCAACAATTAAAATATTTGTTGAAAATGATAGCTCTTCTGAAGCTAGGGAAACAGTAGTAGTGATCCATATTCTTCCTTTTCTCAGCATTACTTGGAAATGTTGTGATCTGTATAGAATTCTCACTGAAACATTTAAGAGGTTCTATATCAGCTCCATTCAGGAACAGAGCCCAGTAGCTTTAGAAGATTGCAACAGGAGCTTTGGTATGCAAAAAGTAGTATTATATTGGAAATCCAAATGGTCACATTTGAGTGCAAATAAAATATATTGAAAATTTTTTTGTAAAGGGACAGATGATAAATATTTTAAGCTTTGCAGACCAGGAAGCATAGTTGAGGATATATGTGAGTACTTACATAACCATTTAAAGTATAATCATTTCCGAATATAAAAATCATACATAGCTGGGCATGATGATGCATTCCTATAATCCCGGTGGCTCAGGGGGCTGAGGCAGGAGCATTGCAAATTCAAAGCCAGCATCAACAACTTAGCAAGACCCTGTCTCAAAAAATAAAAACGGCTAGGGATGTGGCTTAATGGCTAAGTGGCCCTTGGCTTCAATCCATGGTATCCCCCAAACATCATTCATAACTTGAGGGCTGTAAAGCAGCCACCTATATAGTTGATTGTCCTTTGTTGTATAGTTATTTCCACTAGGGAGGAAGAAATTGAATTTTATATTACCAAATCAGATTCTAGGTTTTTCATAAGAAAAATGTAGTTATTCAACCACCCTTCAAATAGCTTATGATAGCTTTATCTTCATAATGCCATCATTGGTTATTGTGCCTTTCTTTATCAGATATGTTTACTCCTGGACACATGAGAAAACAATTACATAGCATACGAAAGAGTAGTCTGTTTTCTATCACTCCTTCTCCTTTCCATAAGTCATGAATAGATAACTCACAGTGGGATATATCTGTTTTCTTTTGCTTTCAGCTGCGTTTGGATGAAGCACAGGAAGCAGAGTGCCAGGTTTTGAAGATGCAGCTGCAGCAGGAACTGGAGCTGTTGAATGCATATCAGAGCAAAATCAAGATGCAGGCTGAGGCACAACATGATCGAGAGCTTCGGGAGCTTGAACAGAGGGTCTCCCTCCGCAGGGCACTCTTAGAACAAAAGGTATAAATAATAGAAGGAAGATAATTATCCTAGTATGTGCTTTTATCAAAAACATTTTATAAATATGTGCTTTATATTGACAGGTTACATTACATTTCTTTCATAATACCTTATGTCCTTAATTCTAGTTTGGTACAATTTTTTTTTTTTTTTGGTTGCTCTTGGTTTTTTTGTTTGTTTGTTTGTTTTTAGTTCTAGATGGACACAATACCTTTATTTTATTTGTTTATTTTTATGTGGTGCTGGGGATCGAACCCAGTGCCTCACACATGCTAGGCAAGTGTTCTACCACTGAGCTACAACCCTGAGCCCCTGGTACGGTTTTTGTTTTTACTTTTATTTAAAATTACTAATTCAGTAATGAACCTTATAAATAATGAGTTCTAAAAATCAAAGGATATAGTTTAGTAGTAGTTGTTAGAGAAAGAATTTGAGGTTGTGTGCAGTTAGTTGAATTGTGAGAGTAGCAGCTCTGGCTCCATGTTCCTCACTTCTTTTGTATACCTAGCTCTACCTAAGGAGGTTGGAGAGAGACTTGAATAGTGAAGAAAAAGAACTGCAGTAATTGCCTGGGAGAGGCAGGGACAAAGGATCAGGAATATGTACTTTACTCATACATCCTTGGCCTGGAACTATACAGATTGGTGGAAGATTACTGAGGGACAGAAGGTAAAACCAGTTCCACACAGGTGAAAAGTTAGGCTGAAAAATGTCACTTTCTGGTACACCTTTACTTTTTTCTGACTTTTTCTTTGTCAGATATATAGAGAATAGAACTAGAATCTCCAAATTCATTTTCATCCTTTAGGATACTAAGGAGTGTGTGTGTGTGTGTGTGTGTGTGTGTGTTGGGAAATTATAAGAAATGGTAGAATATCAGTTGTACCCAGGATTCAGAGTTATGTTCCAGAATTCTAAGTTCCCAGCAGCTGGTATAGTCTCAAATCTTTTGGGCACTGTTAATACCTGCCTATCAGTCCTCTTAAAGTTGTCACTGTTTGTAGATCATAGGCCTGTAGATTGTCCTCTATTTCCTGCAGCTCTTGTGATAAAAATAGAATACTTTATTAAATTAAAAAAATATATGTATTTTTTGTTAATGGTGATGGTACTAGGGATTGAATCTTAGGCCTCACTTAATGTGAGACATGTGCAATATCACTGAGCCACACTCTCACAGTCCCCTTAAATGTAACTCTTTTTAAAAACACACAAAAAAAGATGTTACTATTTCTCTTTTTGTTGGTTTTTGGTTGATTTTGGTTTTGAGACAGTCTCGCCATGTTGCTGAGACTGGCCTTGGAAACTCTGGGGGTTTTTTTGGTACTGGGGATTGAACCCAGGGGCGCTTTACCACTGAGCTATATTATCCCCAGTTTTTTTATTTTTTATTTTGAGACAGTGTTCACTAAGTTGCTTAGGACCTTGCTAAATTTGCTGAGGCTGGTCTCAAATTTGTGATCCTCCTGCCTCAGCCTCCCCTGGCTGTGTGTGGGATTATAGGTTTGTGCCACTGCTTCCAGCTTGGCCTTGAACTCTAGATTTCCCTGCCTCAGCCTCCCAAATAGCTGGGATTACAGGCTTGTACCACTAGCCCAGCCCCTTTCTTTCTTTTCTTTTTTTCTCTTAAATTTATTTTTCAACTGATAGGAAACGTTATAACATAAAAACTGTACAAGGATGTTACTGTTTCTCTGGCACAACTGTCTTTATTACCAGCTTTTTTGAGAGATGCATATTTCTTAAAAAAAAAAACTGTCAGGTTTCTACTTTCATATTTAAAATAATTATCACTTGAAGGAAAACTCCCTATGGTATTTTAGGAATGGTGGTATGGGAAAAATATTGGTACTATTGTTAAGTATGGTTGTAATTTTAGCTCCACCTAGTGGTGTAGAGTTAAAGGTCAACTTGCATTTTTTCAGAAAGGTCTTATTTTAATACATGAAAAAATTCTTATTTTAGAAAAGTCTATTTAATAAAGTGTGAGTATAATACCAATATCCATTGATGAATGTGCAGTGGCACTATTGTACATTATCAGTGCACATTGGGTAGCAATTTAGAGGTGTATATTGAGCCCACAAAATGTTAAGAATTTAAAACTTTGAGCATTCTAAGGAAGAAATAATAGTATAAGGAAAACAATAGGCAAATATGTTACTTGTAACATTTTGTAATAACTTAAAATAATCTAGCCATCTAAGGTAGAGTATAATTTAACTAATTAAATAAATATGACTAAGCTACTAATAAAATTCCACCCACCCACCTCAGTCCTGGGGATTACACCTAGGTCCTTGCACCTCTTGCACATGCTAATAAGCACTTGCTTTGTCACTGAGCTATATCCCTAGTACCACAAATAAAATCTTACTCAGTCATTTAAATAAGGCCTTCAGGAAAGTATTAACATAGAACTGGGCCCAGTGGCATATGCCTGTAATCCCAGCAGCTCATGACGCTGAGGCAGAAGAATCACAAGTTCAAAGCCAACCTCAGCAACTTAGTGAGGCCCTGAGCACCTTAGCAAGACCTTGTCTTTAAATAAAATATAAAAAGAGTTGGGGGTGTAGTACAGTGATTAAGCACTCCTGAGTCCAATCCCTGGTACCAAAAGAAAAAAGAGTTAACATGGGAAAATGCTTGTGGTAATTGAATAAAGTAGAAAAAGGCAAATTGTACTTAAATTGAAGTAGTGTTGTTAGTGGCTATATTAATGTTAGACTTATTGGGGGGGGGGGCAGTACTGGGGATTGAACTCAGGAGCACTTGACCTCTGAGCCACATTGCCAGCCCTATTTTGTATTTTATTTAGAGACAGGGTCTCACTGAGTTGCTAAGTGTCACGCCTTGCCTGCAGCTGACTTTGAACTGTGATCCTCCTGTCTCAGCTTTCCATTAGGATTACAAGGCCTGTGCCACCTTGCCCAGCTGATTGTTTTTTTTTTTTTTTAATGTGGTTTAAAATACATAAGATGCTTTAGTATTTAAAAGAATAAAAGAACAAAAGGATGATAAATCTATAGTGCTTTGAGATGTTACTTGGTTTGTGGGGCTGTTTACATTTCAAGTGAAGTACATGATTTCATGGCAGTCTGAGGTCAGTTGACATTCACCAAGACTATGAATCCTATCTACAAAAACTGAAAAATATGGGTTGAAGTTATTGCTTAGCAGTAGACTGTGTAAGATAGCTTTCAAAAGGCTCTGAGTTTAATCTCCAGCACCAAAAAGCCCCCCAGAGTGAATGTTAATGGTCCCTAGAGTGAATGTTAATGAATGTAGTAATTCTGTGTTTGAAGACTACTTTAAGCTTCAAGTGAACAAAAAATTGTTTCTTTAGGTTGAGATACTAAAAACAGAGACTTGGTTATATGTGAAATCTTTTTTTGAGGGGGGGGGGGGTACCAGGGATTGAATTTAGGGCACTTGACCCCTGAGCCACATCCCCAGCCCTGTTTTGTATTTTATTTAGAGACAGGGTCTCACTGAATTGCCTAGTGCCTCGAAGTTGCTGAGGCTGACTTTGAACCTGAGAACCTCCTGCCTCAGCCCCCTGAGCTGCTAGGATTACGGGCATGCGTCACCGCACCCAGCCAGTATATATAAAATCTATTTTCAATTTTTCTCATCCTTCATTTACATTGTTTTTGGCTTAATTAACAACATAATTATAAATGTTAAATTCCATGTGAATTTTACACATGAATAAAAAGTAGTAGTATTTCCAAAGTATAGTTTTTTTGGTACCAGGTATTTAACCCAGGGGCATTTAACCACTGAGCCATGTCCCCTGCCCCACCCTTCCTTTAGTTTTTGTTTTGAGATAGGGTTTTGCTAAATTGCCCCTCCTTTAATTTTTTCATTTTGAGATAGGGTCTTGCTAAATTGCTGAGCCTGGCCTTGAACTTGCAGTCCTCTTGACTCAGCCTCCTGAGTTGCTGGGAATTATAGACACGTACAACCATGCCTTGCTAGATGGCCTTTTATTATTATTATTATCTCATTTAATTTTCTCCCAATATTTTATTTAGTATCAACATCTTAGTTGATAATGTTTAAGTAAGAATTAATAATTGGAATATCTTACAAGACCTTTCTTTTTGAAAATGAAAATATTCACACAAAAAGATCATAATTGGTTTCTAAGAAGATAGGTTGGGAAAGCCTCTCAGAAGTTTAATTATGGTAACTACCTGCTTAGGAAAACCACTTATCTAGTTTGTAGTAATAAAATAACATGTTTTAAAAGGAATAATGAGTAACCTGTCACAAATCTTAGATTTGAATTTTATTTAGTTGAAAAAAATTCTAGAATATTCAAGACCCTAGGTTGATCCCCACTCAGCATTGCCAACAAAAAGAAAAAAGAAAAAAAGGTATGACAAAACTTAGCAGCATAAAAAATTGAAGCAATGCTTACTGGGAAATATTGATAAGTATTAATTTGTTTATTTTTTCCTCCTTTTACATTTTGTATTGGTGCATTATAGTTATACATAATGATGGGATTTGTTGTTACATATTTGTACATGTACACAATATAACTGGGCCAGTATCACTCCCCAGCACTTCTTCCCTCTCCTCTATTCCCATGCCTTTCTTCTACTGATCTACCTTTGAATTTCATGAGATCCCTGCCCTCTCCACCCCTTCCTTGACCTGAATTTGGGTTATTTCCCTTAACATAATGGTCTCAATTTCATTTTTCTTTATGGCTCAGTAAAACTCTATTGTGTATGTATATCACATTTTCTCTATCCATTCATCTATTGATTTACACTTAGGCTGGTTTCACATAGTTTGGCTATTTTGAATTGTGCTGCTATAAACATGAATATGCCTGTATCACTATAGTATAATGATTTTAATTCTTGAGGATAAATACTGAGGAGTGATACAGCTGGGTCATATGGTGGTTCCATACCTAGTCTTTTTTTAAAATTTATTTTTATTTATTTTTATTCTACTTTGTTATATATGACAGCAGAATACAT